TTCCGGGTTTGAGAAAGTTGTTTGGTTACCCGGAAATCTCTCATCCCGGAAGTGATCTGCACCAATCATTCAGGCTAATGGGGATATCACTGTACAGTAGTAACCAGAAGTAAATCACGTATACAGGTACAGTATTTGGTTTTAAAAAATTAATTACAGTTCGGAGTGTGCTTTCGGGATAATTAGTAACTCGAAAGTTAAAAAAAATGGCTGGCAAGTCTTTTTCCATGGAACATATTAGGATGTCTCACAGATGATCTTGACGAAGTAGAGATCTGTCAACTCTCAAAATACTGCAGTTTTGAGAATGCTCTCACATGAGACAACAGTACAAGGGAGGGTGAGCTCATCTTGAGGCACTTGCAAAGGAGTTCGTTAATATACCATCTTGTTACAATGGGGTCCAGTTACTTGCTCAGCTACAGTAAGTTGCCAGATACCGCAACGCCGTTTGATCAAATCATACTGAAAACAGTATCAACACTTCCTAGGCCAATTGTACACCAGACCAAAATAAAGGAATGATGTAACTTCCTTCTTGATTGTACTGCACCAATAACTGAACGCTGAGGGTTCATCTATGGTATTTACTCAAAACTCACATTACAGTACAGCGCTTTATTCACTTACCGTAAACTAAAATTACTGTGCATTTTACTAAACTATAGTTCTGAATGTACAATAACACACTTCATCAATATAGCAGTTCATTACACTTCACTTACCCCATTGGTGGTAGTGGAGTGTGGTGGGAGCAGTGTACTGTCTAGAGTGGTGATAACAGTGCAGTCATATGGTGGTGATGGCTGGAGTGTTGCAGTTCTCACCTAATGGATCCTAATTCATCATCAGTTGAGGTGAATGATAAGGAAGAAATGGATTGCAAGGAAGAGCTATGGCCAGTACCTAATGTGAAATTATCTACCTCTTTAATGTGCTGCCAGCCACCTTAAACATTTCAAGGAAGGTCATCAGCCATTTTGCTTGACTCCTCCTTCGGTAATTTCATATGAACAAGACTGAGGTGCATAAATGGCGTGTGTGTGTGTGCAGCTGTTATTATCTGCTCTTCTGGTTGGGAGTGTTCTGCTTTTCTGAATTTCATACCTCAATATTTCTCAAAGTTTTCAATTAACTGGAGTATTTTGATACAGTACCGTAAGTAAAATACCATATTTACGAAGTGGCTTGGAACCAAAGTCATTTCGTATAAATTGATTTTCCATAAAACTAGTATTGAGTAGTGTAATGATATGAAATACACAAAAATACAAATATACTGGAAAACAAACATGTGGACTTGTGTTTTTCCTTCATTAAGAAATATTTATACAATTGCATAATTATAATAATTGATTTGTATACATTTTACCTAAGGAAAATACAAAATTACTGTACATTAAAATAATAGAATTGTTAACATTACAAGTAATAATAAAAATCCATACTCTGTACAAACACCTTCCAGGGTCTCTGCATATGCCTTAACCTATAATAATCCACAAACTTCAGAGTTTACAATAACGGCTGCCGAGTTTTTAGCGACAAAAATACCCAAGCAAGTAGTGTATACTGTAAAATTGTTCAAAATTATGTAAATTCAATTATTTATTGCACTATAACATTAAACAAACCATCACCAAAACTTAAAATATAAAAGATTAAGAAAGTAAAATCATAATTACTGAAAAATTATTTTAATATAAAACATGCAAAGTGGTAGTGGTGGTGTCAGGTGTGGGAGAATGTCAGTTAAAATTTACTTGGTGTTTACTATAAAAATATACTTAGACAGAAGTACTTACCTTACAATAATAAGATGTACTGAATTTCATGCATAGCAGGACACCACTTTCAAATTTCACTGATCAGATACAGTGCTATAGTTTCATTCAATAAAACTGACATTAATTTTGGACTTTACTGTAATTTTTGGACAGTCTTGTAAAGTCATCCTTTATTGTAGGGGGGGGTGAGAAGGTGGACGAGGCAGGGGGTTCTATTATTGTCTTGCGAGGTCATCCATAGCTTAAGTACATTAAAATCTGTTTCCTGCATGAGTAAATAGGAAAGGACCACCAGCCTTCACTCTCACTTGACAGTACAAGAACAGAAAGGTAACAAATATAATATTATTTTAAACACATCAGCACAGTATTAACACTTATTAGAATCATTAAGAAAGAGTATAAGGATTACTAGTGCCCAAAAAGGAAGTTAATTAATAAAACTGTAGAAGAAAAAAAGTCAGACAGAAGCTACCCAACACAAGTCTCTCTGATCAAAACTCTGCATCTTAATGACATTACATTCACACATCTATGAGAAAATCTAACTAATCTAAATCACCCACCAATTTGTACTTACTTACATTACCAAATTTATGATATACTCCACCTGATAATATTGAAACTATTATACTGAATGCATATTGTACTGGTTTGTCATTGTACTTCCACAAAGTGAAATCATTCAAGTTCGTCAATTTCAAGGCCACGTGAATGACTGGATGGTTACTGTATTTGTCAACGAGTCAAATGTTACAAAGAAACCAAGTTACTATTACGACTGTCCTGTACACCACTGTAAACCCTAATTAAGAACAAGACTACAACCCAAGCTACAACCACGATGAAGAGTCCAGTGAAAAATGGGTTAATTTACGCAGTGTGTAATGCACACATACAGGTAAGTTATGTCAATGAGTGTAAAAAGGAATTGTATTTATCTAACAGTGTTAAAAGGATAGTATCTACAGTACTGTGTAAAAAGCTGACATAAAAAGTAAATAAAATTGTTTTTATATCTATATATATATTTTAAGTTCAACAATATGTATTACAAAAAATTCAATATGAATTACACAATCATATGACATCTTTCACATAAAGCTAATCATCACAATCTTCAGAGAGTAATACTGTGTCATGCTTCTTTATAAAATCAAATTCATTCCAGCCTCACTTTCAACATTCAAGGCAGTTCTAACCAACAATTTATATACAAAAATGTAAATATAACTCTGAATTATAAATCTAAATTTATTAACAGTTATGTGAACAAGAATCTGCATCACATCTAAATTGTCTATTAGTGATCTGCTTCACTATACAAAGCCTGCTACAGTTTTTGAATTATGCAACAAAAAGCAAAAATAGGCCCTGAACTACACAGCATAAACTTGTCATTAATAGCTGCTTATACATGCCAACAGCTCAATGGAGATGTCCCATTTCCAGAACAGTCATACATGCTTATGTCAAGGAAACAAAAATACAGTACCTAACCTAATTAACTGTGGTACTGTACTGTTCATGGATATAGAAGCAACACCTTCACCATCTTTATATGTCAGATATCAAGCTCACTCTCCTTCCTCTTAAGAGACCTTGGTCCTTGATCTTATACCAAGTATGTGTACAATATGAACCTCATTAGGAACTTATATTATTGAGTAGAATGTCAATTTTTTTCAAGTGGTAATCTGACCGTTTACTTCTTTCTGTGTACAGTATATAATTATTAGCATCCACCTACCTCAACAAGAGAGTACAGCTGTCAACTTCTTACCAAGCTGACTGTTATCGCTACGTGCCGGCCACATGTCGAGTAAAGAAACTGTTTACTACTCATAATAGCTTACTAAGAGAGATGGAGCTAGTAGCAGCTGTATGGAGTCTCGCCTTCTATCGTATAGATAGCATCTAGAATTTTCGTTCCTGCCAACATCTACCAGGAGGATATTATATTCGTTCTCGTTGGTCAAACCCTTGACCCCAAAATGTGAGTGTGAACTATTAAATCCTTTAAGAATTCTAAATAACTTAAATAAGTGTATTTATGTATTGTACATTGATCATATTATACAAATTGTCTCCTGATATACCAGCAGTTGTTATATGTGAATTATTCTTTAACAGGTTTTGACCAAAATCGCTCCTATGAGCGGTTACACTGACTCTTGGTAATTACCTGCCCACCTTTTATCATCAGCTGAATTAAAGCAAGCAACCCACTACTGGCCAATAACATTAGCAGCATTCTATTGTGTGATTGGCAGCAAGCCACAGCCTCATAATACCAAACAACCCTCTAAAACCTGTACATTTCAGACACTGTACAACTTATTTTTGAAGGCTCATAAGGCCTAATAGTGATACTGTTTACTGTACAGTATATGTTGTATGAATATTGTTGTACTCTGTTAATGTTGTGTTGTCCACTGTGACTGAGGCTGTCTTAAAGATGATAGCTATTACATACAAACTTGTTTGTAATATTTTGCTGTGAGTCCTTTAATGGTGTGTTCATGGCAACATAACAATGTGTAAGATTAGAATAACTTCTAGAGCATAAAATTACCAACTCACTTTCTGTCACATGTAAAGTGTACAAATGATGTACTAAACCTCTCGGGGAAGTACCTCTGCAAAAATATATCCCCCAAATTTTTCTCTTCATAAAGTTGACATTATTTGGTATGTGTTATTAACACTACTGTAACAACTATTGAGGTGTTCCAGTTAACTATGAATAAAAAATAAATAAATCTATCTTCACTTCCATAATCCTAATGAACAGCCTTTTCATAATTATGTTATAATTGAGGCGCACCCAATGATAGTGACGAATTAACCAATGGTGCCCAAATCAGATTCTGTATTGGGTAGAGAGAGAGTCGGGCTTCCTCTTGAAACAAGAATCTGATTTGGGCGCCATTGGTTGATTCGTCACTTAAGGTTGACAACCCTTTATCCGAAATTTCGAAAACCGAAAGTTTTTTTTTGTGGGGCATTTTTTTTAACAGGGATTAGCCCACCCGGGCATAGGTCAATGGTCCATATCAGGGCCTGGGGGGGGGGGAATGTAATAGTAGTAATAATAATTATTCATGGTAAATAAAATTTTTAATAAAATTACACCAAAATAATAATGATAACAATAATAATAAAAATTATAATAAAATATAATAATAAAATAATAATAATAATAATAAAGAAATACAAACATGAAAAAAAGATCAAAAGTGAGAAACACGACATAGACCTATGAATTATTATTATTATTATTTTTATTATATTTTTCGTCCCCAGGCCCTGATATGTGTCAGTAATCTAAATCCGGGTGGGCTAATACACATAAAAAAAACTAACCATTCTGAAAACCAAAAAATTCCGAAATCCGAAATGCCTCTGGCCCCAAGGATTTTGGATAAGGGATTGTCAACCTGTATCAATGGGTTCGCCTCAATTGACATCTTTATTCACAAACAATATGTTGACAGCATAGAATGTGTCCAAACAAACATTAATACATACAGGTTCCAGCAAAAAATTCACTAGGAGGTGGCATGAAACATAGTTAAACATTGTCTTATTGGTATGTGACAATGTACAGGTACTTTAATACAGTATAACTGCACCACAAATATATGACTAAAGTATAGACCTCTCAATATACAAACTATGCCAAATAACTAACCTTGACTCAATACTTTTTGATAGTAAATCATATGTTTACAACTAAGCCACAGTGACTTTTCATCCAGCGACCTCTTCTTGCCTTTCTGCTTGACCTTTCAGGGTAACCCAAGCACTCTCCAAGCGACCTTCAGTTACAAAAGTAGATCCTTCTTTCAAGCTGCGTTCCAGACATCCAAGTTTTGAACGTAAACTTTTGCGGTTGTATTCCATGTGTGGGACCTGAAGAAGAAAAAATAGTAATAATTACTGTGTTTTACGAGACGAAGCAGGAACAAACTACTGGGGAGAGGTGTAAACTCCAGGATGAAAGAACTTTAAGTGAACTTTATTCGTGAAACATTATAACATCTCAACTGTGCAAACAAATGTGGAGTGAGAGGTGCTATTATATAACAATAATAATTTAAAACTGGTCTGCGCAAACTGCATTTGACTCATCAGCCGGTGCGGGCCAAACAGGTATGCATACATTGGGAATCCCATATGATTAAAAAGGGGGCAAATATTTTAATAGGGTTATTTAACGTTTAGGAGGAACCACACAGACATAAACGTTAACAGAGGCAATATGATTCATGACCAGCAGAACTGCACTCATAAAAAACTCAATATCCTCGCCCAAGTATGGATACGCGCCAACGAGAGTATTATATTAATTGGCAAAAAAACTTCCACACAAATAAAAACTTAACTCCCAGGTACAACTTACCACAGATACATGATACCCCAGTCGAGTTAGTTGTCTTTTCTTCATGTGAACGTTGCCTCTCAGGGTGTCGGTGTTGCGAATGAAGGAATTTCGCCCAGCAACAATAACGGCATTCCACTGTATGCCATTGAAGCATTCCATGGGATACTTAAGTGAGGCTGGAGGGAGATCGAGGAAGTTCTCTGGCAGTGCTACAGGTTCACCGTCATTTGTTGTGCAAAATACTAGATCTGTTGAAGACCATCATCTGTGTATTACCTATTCAAGTTTACCAACGTATTTTTTAACCAGTTATCTATGTATTTTTAAACCATTTACCAATATACTGTATTTTTAAATTATTCATCAAATTATTTTTCAACCATCTTGGAAGAGATCTGGTTAACTGACCCACCTACAAACTTAACTGTAGCTACACCAAATTACTGTATCATTTCTGTGTGTTTAGCTAACCTGGAGTCTGGATGTGAGGGAGAATATGTGTTGCTGTAACAAGGTGTACGCCTCCTAACATGGCTGATAACTTGTCCTTGACTTCTAGGAGCAGTCGTTCCTGGTGAGTCAGAGTCTTCTCAAGTCCCGACGGAAGGTTTCCCATATATTGCTGAAAGTATAAAAATGGAGGACTGAACAAGAAATTGTATGAGCACTGTGTAGACGGCTCAGCATTTGGGAGGGGAGGGGAGGGGGATCACGACATATTATACACCACAGTACAATCCGTGGCCTCCGGTCCCAAAAATGAAAACTCTTAAACCACCTCAAATTTAAACGACCAGGTACTCTAAATTCCCACAAGTTTCCAAAGATCGCAGCTGTGTTTTTCTGGTGCAGACGTCACCCCTTTATGAGGATTTATTTAAAATTTTAGGCGGTTGGCTTCACACTTTTTCACTGATTTCTGTACAGGTTAATCAGCGGAAAACCAGAGGAAGAGCTATGGTGTTGGTAATATGACTATACTGTATAAAATATCAAGAAGAAATATGAAAAGCTGTAAATTTTATTCTGAGTGATTCAATGAAGAGCAATGTGAAGCCTAGATCTGCTTAATGCTAATTTACAGGCGGATTAAATTAACTCTTGGAAAGTGAAGAAGGAAGATTTTTTGGACAACTATCGGTAAGTAAAATTTTTTAATGTTACACACAGTATAATGTCGATATATCATGAGATACGTTCCAAGAGGTCGCTTTAAACTGAATTCGCACTAAATCAAAGTGTTGTTTCAATGGAATAATTAATTTAGTTTGGTACTTGAGAGAAACACAAAATGCAAAAAAAACTGAGTCTACCCAGATGCACTTCAGCCCATCTCCTAGAATAAACAAAACATTGTTTTTTGTAGTATTATGCTAAAACAAACACTCATAAATCAACGCAGCCAAAATTACGAGATGCGAAATGGTCTGTTTACTCGCGATCATCAGAAACCTTGGGACCCATAATCCAAAACATACTGTACAAACGTTGAACAAGGAATCTGGACGGGAGACTTTTTGTACTGTATTTTTGACACGTTCATAGAGACAATATGAACTTTCATTCCACCAACTTCATTCTCAAACTCAATTATTGCTCTTGTGATGATGATGATGATGATGATGATGATGATGATGATGATGATGATGACGATGATGATGATGATGACAGTCAAATTATGTACAGTATATCAGAAAGTGAAAATTTCAATGTTCTTTTGCTTACTTTTTTTTCAGATCATCCACAATAATGTACTGTATCACCAAAAGATTTGTTGTATATCGGAAATAAAAGGACCGGAAGGATTAATTTTTAAACCAAGAACCAGGACGAAAATGTAGAAGGGGAACTTGGGGTAACTCACCGTGTCACCTAGAGTGGTCCAAGTCACCCAGAGATGGTACAATAACCAATTAAGGTATAAAAGTACAAAAGAATGTTTATCCTATGAATGATATCGTTAGTAGAACTACGTAAGTATGAACAGCAAGTCTTTCTAGTTTGATCAATAACCACTTCACTACAATACTGTAATTGGCTAACACCAGGCAATTTCATTCAGCTCAGAAGGGACCCATACTCAAGGGGTGGGATGAGAACGCATGACCCTGTCTCTGGGTTTCAACACCTGTGCTCCTCAAGTATCGTTAGGTCTTGAAGCAACCATCAGGTTAGGTGCTCAAAGCAATGAACTGACCATAGTTTTATTAGATGAGGAGCTGCTTTGTGACACAAAGTACTGTCATGCTAGATAATGTATCCTGCTCCTAATCATCAAAGCCTTGCTATGGGTAATAGCAGGCACTATGAGTGTGTGTTTTAGTAATGTATTAGGAATCTTGCAGGACACCTATTCAACACAACTGACTACAAAAAGAAATGATGAAAAATATACTAACAAACATTTCAGGAATTACAATGTTTCTTCCATAAAAAAAAATAATTTGTAATCTAATTCACACACACACATGTATACATATAAAATATTATATAAAGCAGCCATAAGTACCTTAGTTAACTGGATTCTCATATCAGGAGCAAGTCTGTATCCTCGATAATTGGCAGGGCCTTCTATATCCAAGGCCCAGTCAAGCTCAATGACCTCTCGACCCATCGCACTGTAATGCCGGCTCACTAGAAGTGACAAGACCAACATTATTTGCGAATACTAAGAATTTTAATTACTCTCTTTTTAAAAAAAATATATTAACTTTAGATAAATCAGGCATTAATGCCTACAGATTTAAGGATACCCCATGACATACTAAGCCACCATATCCTAGCTGATACCAGTGACCATACTGTACAATACTACAGTATATAACAATCACTCCAATCACATTCTGGTACAGTATTGTACATCAATTCCCACGGAGTATAGGTCTTGAATGATTACCTGTAGATTTTACCATTCAGGACCAGATGGGTTGTTGGACTATTAAACAAGTCACTGTGCTGACCATTTTCCCTTCCAGACAATCATAGAAAATAATGTTCCAGGAAAAAAAATCTTTGGCCAAGGCTCCACATGTTATACTTCCACACAAGATGCTCAGACTTGTGAGCTGCAGGATTTTTTCCCCATATTATTGATTACAAAGCTGGCCAATGTTTCAACTCACTTCGAGAGGCATTATAATGGTTATCTTTGTGGCAGCAATATACTGTAGTTATCGGCAGTCCTCTATTCAAGAACATACTGTACATTGGTTCCAGAGGTCCGTTCGTAAGTCCATTCGTTGGCAAGTCCAAAGTCACCTCTATCACTTGCAAACAATGTGTTAAATATACCTTATGTACAGCTCAACCACAACACAGTACTCCATCATAATTTATTGTATGGTTTACCTGAGAACTATACAGCCACCCTCACAACATGCAATTTTCTTCTTCTTCTTACTTATGATGGTATAGGCACAGAATGCTTCACATGCTCCATAATTCTTTCTTTGTTCTTTAAAATTGTATCAACAGATGAATGATTCACTCAGAAAGCATGAGGCACAGTTGTCATCTTATCACCCCTTTCCACTTTATTATCACCACTTTCTTTTCTTGCTCACTCTCATTACTGGCACTACCTTTACGTTTCTCGGACATATTGGGGTCAATAATGTTCGTAAAAGCCACAAGAAATGAACTATCACTGCTGTAATGCTGCAAACGAGACAACAACTAAAATGACTGGTGCTTGGCTGGGAGAGTTGTGGCTTCCTCAAACAAGCAGTTTACATCTTTGTTGTGTTCCACATGATGGCCAACAGTCTGTTAGCACGTGGTAATGCGACGTGTCTGAGCGGACTCACTACTTTACACACAACTTACAGTAAGTCACACTAAACAGGATAACTTCTGCCCTATCCTCATAACCTGGTTGTTTTGGGTTCCTGGGAGTACTGTACAGTATTTCTGACATTTTTATAAACAAAACTCAGAAATCTATCATGGGTCAACAGAACTATGCAAACCCTGGCCCACGAGTCATAAGGCTTTCAATGTGGCCCACACCTGGAATTACTGTACAATGAACCCTGTCTGTGTTCCCTAAACCTACATATAATAGATACCATGACAAAATTTACATCCCATGAAGACCCATTAGAGGCATGGAGAGTATTACACTGACGAGCAGTTAAGATGCATATTTTTACGGCGCATCACCCTCTCTCGTCTGGCTGCGCTACGCTCTCGGCTCAGAGACTCGCCACCATCCGCCTCACTACCCACCACACACTCGCTCTACCACCTCCGCCCATCGGTGAATACCCATACAAACTTAGTAGTTGTACAATATATGCATGCACTATTTTCTATAGAAATGGCAATGATTTTCTGTATATGTATGGTATTTCACTGGGCAAAGGGAGGCTCAGAAACGTAACTCCCGTATTTTATCTATTTCTTATGGGGAAAATTAGTCCGCTTAACGTTGTTTCGTATAACGTCGCAATTTTAGGAACGTAACCCCAACGTTAAGCGAGGACTTACTGTACAGTACAGTATGGAAGAGTACAGCCCTGTCAAGCATCAAAAGATTGTTTTTTGTGGCCATACAATACTGTGTATGGAAAAAAGTTTGCATGCCCCTGATATAGCGCTGGTTGCATAGAGCATAAAAAATTTGGCACAAAAACAGCAGTGGATTTTTAAGAATTGGTATAGTACTGCTTCTTCTCCAGCTTTCAAAAGTGCTGTAATCATTCCAGGAGCAATATTCAGGTCACAAGTTATATCTCCCATTATAAAAAATGTTACTTCAGAAAATACCCCATGTCCCACATACAGTACTGTACATACTCACATGGTGTAATAAATAAAAAGAAAAGAAAGCTACAAAACCTCTCGGCATTAATAAAGAAAATAAACTACTGTATACGTACTGTACTTACTATTGAGGAGGTTGAGCATGGATGGTTGAAGGGCAGCAGAGATGAGGTCTTGAGGCAGTATCCCCATGGTCATGAGGTACACCACACATGACACAAAACACTTTGGGTAATGATTTATCTCCAACAGTCTTTCTGGACATCTCAATGCTTCGGCAATCAGCATGAAAATGTCGGGGCGACTAGGTGGCACGTAGTTATATAACATTAATGCAAATGTTATTCTCTCGATATCTTTTAACCTGAGGACCTTGATATCACTAGCAAATTTAACTGCTATGGTATCAATGACTTTTGGATGGAAGACAAGGAGATCATTCCCCAAGAGAGCAACCTGGAGAAGACACATATTGTTGAGTCTATCAAGTTGTGGTAGAAGAGAGTCCAGGAGACCATACATTAACTTCCACTGCATGACGGGAATGCTCTTCCGTAACAGCTTGAGAATAGCACAGAGAGTGGCATCTGATACACATTCTAGATTATCTTCAGTTTTCTTTATGATGGCTTCAATAAGTGCTTCACTCTTAAGAAAAGTCTGAGTTTTAAAGAAACCCATCGCAATCACACCAAGCTCTTCCACAGAAATTTGTTGTAGCACTTGAGTGAGGCGCTTTTCGATTTCTTTTTTAACTATAAAAGGTTCTAATTTCCGACTCAAATTAGCATAAAATAAATACTGTACTAATTGGGCAGGAGCCATTGAAGTCACTCTTCTTCCCAACACTTTAGTCATTTTAACATTGTACATTGAGATTCGGGATAGTCGTAATGCAAACCAATGGTCAGCCACCAGGAACATTCGTGCCATGTCCCAACGACGCATACGTTCAGTACAAGATTGATCCAAGGCATTCCATAGTGCTACAAAATTTGGTGTAGTAGTGGCACTGGTGGGAGGCCAAAGGGATAGTGCAGAAAGAACCATTAGGAGCTGATTATCACTTATATGTGTCAATCTGTTACTGAGAACAGCACATAATCCTGAGTGCTTTGAATCTTCCAAGTCCATGGGGCTATGACGACACATTTGTGACATGGCAATAAATCCATCAGCAATCTCCTCAGCACTACATCTTGCCCATTCTGAGTCTGTGAGGTGAGGTGCATGTTGGTGATAAAATGAATTATTTAGCACATTATCTCCAGCCACTGTAGTTGCATGATAAGCTGGCAATGAACGCAGGATAGCATGTGCATGTTCATTCTCTGTATCGGAAAATTCTTTTACGAAAAGAACCGTTCCAGAATGCAGAGACCGAGCAACCACTTTGTTGAACGATCCCCTGGCAGTGTGTGTGATTCTCTGTGTTGTTGCTAAACGATCATGCCCAGACACATGGCTTTGTTGATGCCCCTGACCAAGGTGACTACTGTTAAAATTCTGCACATTATAAGCCTTCACACCTTGCTGGATGATCTCTGTCCGATTATTAATCAAGCCACGCCCAAGGGCCTGCACACTTGGCCAAAGCCTCTGGGCACACATTGTGGTTGAAGTGAATTTAGAAGGCAGATAATTACTTCACTTCAGGAATTTCCACTTCTGAAACAAAAAGAAGAAACAGCTATAAGGGAACAGGACTAAAAATGTTTTATTGTGTACATTGTATTAGAAATAATATATTTATCAGATCAAATTCAAAGGTTGTCTCTACCTCTGCTCAATATGAAAACAACTTACTCTACCCCCTGAACCCCCCATCATTTATAAGTTGTTTGTAAGGGAAGCATCACAGAAGTGTCTTAGGATTATCTAAATTACCGATTGTAAAGATAAATTTCCTAAGATTCCCGTGTTGTCCTGCAGTAAAATAATACCCTGCACAATAGAAAGAAGACCAAGGCCTACACACCTTCAGTGGTTCAGGAACAAAACTATGGTATTAGTTGGAGCAGTTCATGGTCTTATTATTATTTCTGCCATCCAGCTAATTTTAGGATTTTAAGTTAGGGGTAGGTTAGGTTAGGGGTAGGTTAGGTTAGGTTAGGTTAGGTTAGATTAGGTTGAAATCAAGTTCCTTAATGGTGTTTTGTGTATTTTAAACCATTCCCAAATAGATGGATAACCAAAACCATAATCTTACCCAATTAAATAATCAATATCTACTCATGTTAGGCAGAACTGTGCTTCCTTCCTGCTAAATTCTGATATAATTAAGCAAAATGGTTTCTGTCAATGTGCCAAAAAGTTGAAAAAGCCAAGAGTCCATGACATACTTACAGATTCATGAACACTCAAATGAATACTAAAATATTTCTCTCTAAGATACATAAATTAACACACACAGAACAGGTTAATTACAAAGAGCTCAGGTGATCTCTAAACTTTACCTTACAATGTCTTACCATGTTAGGATGCCTCAATATACTGGTAGTCTTCTCCTTAACCTTACATCTCATTAAAGAATTACACTTTAATAAACACATTCAAACAATATGTCCCGTTAACAGCTAAGACACACCACTAATGGACCACCTCATGTACCAGAACATATTATCTCTTACCTCACACCATAAAGTCGTCTTATTGAGTATTATTTGTGTTTTTAATTATACATCACATAACGTAGTGTAATAACTGTCCTCAGCAACAGGTCACACGTCTTGCCTCTCTGGGTCACACGGCAACACTGAGGCTCAATCTCTTTCTACTTTCCAGAACCGTCTACCTTCGTTTACATCCACCAGATCTTATTTCCTTAAAACGCTTAAACTACCAGGATTAATGCAATTTGAAACCATAAAATAATCGGTAAAATATTTATCTTAAATTCTATACTTTGATATTATTTATATAATTTATCATTTATTAATTATTCTTGCACCTTGACTGTACTGGAGGTTAACGAGGGGGAGTGACGTCATGGACCTCAACCTTGGGACTACTGGCCTAAAAAATATCTCCTCAAAATATGTATTAGATAATTATCTCTTTCTTCTCACCTATCTAACTTTTTATAGAAATAATATGTATAATTACCGTTACTCTATAGGAATTTCACTTTGTAGTAGTCTAAATGTTTATAACAAAATTTAAATTTGTTTTACTACAAAAAATCTTCTTATCATAATAACTGCACATGACTGATAAAACTAATAATAGTAAAGAATTATATTATACGATATCTATAAGTTATTATATAATAATTATTAAGTAAATATACCAATCAATTATAAAGGAAATACACAAAATCAAATTAAAACTATCTTACAACTAGGAAAATAAACAAGTCGAAAGCAGCCGTTTTCTTGTCATTTATTTTACATATTACGTGATTTTGATATTAAATTTATAACTATAATTCACTATTAACTTTTCTGTTGGATGATGCAATTTTGTCTCATCAGCGATCATGATTTCAAGGTCAGGTGGAGGGACTTGCGACGCACAACTTACAAGCCTGAGAGGAATTCTGAATTGGCTATTAATTATGTATAACAAGTAACAAGAGTTTGATCAAGGTAGTTTTAATAATATTCAATATCAATAATAAGATAGACACTTAAAAATTATCGGATGGGATGATACTTTGATATTACTCGGGATTTGTCTAGCCATGATGTCACTCGTGTTTCATCACCTAATAACAGGGAGACAATTTTTTTTTTAATATTTCCCGCCCTGTCTACCACCCCATGCTGCCCGTCTCTTGCCCTGTCTACCAACCCCTACTGCCCACCTCTTGCCCTGTCCACCACCCCACGCTGCCCACCTCTTGTCCCATCTACCAACCCCTACTGCCCACCTCTTGCCCCATCTACTAACCCCTACTGCCCACCTCTTGTCCCGTCTACCAACCCCTACTGCCCACCTCTTGTCCCGTCTACCAACCCCTACTGCCCACCTCAGATTCTCTGATGTTTGGGCATTAAAAAGGTCTAATTTCAGTAGTACTTGGAAACTCATGGCTATCCCCAAGGACGATATTAGGAGATGCCATTCTTACTGGCAGACTCAACACTCACTTACTTGACAAGTTTTACAAACAACAAAGACAGTTTAAGCTTTCAACTCACAAGGGATCTTGAATGTTTCATCTGTAATCAGACATATCTAATTTGTCTTAACATATACACCTACAGTTGCAATTTCAAAAATTGTGTCGTGCCCCGAGATACTAAGGAATAACGGAGTCTCGGGTGCACTCCAAGATTGAGGGAAAACGGAGGACTCGGGCGTCCTGAAGCAATGAGAAAAGGGACGCCACAGACGGGGGCCTCAACAAAGAAGGCATAGCTACATGTCTTATGGGCTATTGAGTGTAATATAAATTGTTTGATTTTACGTTAACTAACATGAACGACCGTGGTCATTATCATGAAACCCAGCGAAAAACTGAAATTCATCCAAGCTGAGCTGTGGCCGAAACGAGCACGAGCTGGACACTGACCACATGGTTTGAAATACATCAACACGCTAAATAGTTTTGAAACAACAGGATAAGAAATTGAATCTAATTTCAAATTATGTTTATTTACCATCAGGTTACATGCAAAAAAGTACAAAACATCACTTTGCTCTGAGGATATCTAAGATATACTGTACTACCATATATGATATTATCAGTGGCAGTGAATATCTCATTACATCACCAACTGAAAATATCCACCAAAGGGAAAATCTGAATTAAATAACTGGCCTTCAGTATATGACCAGACATTACTGTATATAGCTGGGAGTTTTCTTTCTACTTGTGATGTTGTAATCCAGTTGCCCTGAATTTCTCCCTTTACCTTTATCTTAATGATCAAGTAGGGGTGCAGTGGAGGGCCTATCCTAAGTCTTCCTGGTGCAATCTTGGGGCACTCCCAGTCAACTCGGCTTTAAATGGCTACTACTTTACACTTTGAGAAATGAAGTCCACTCCTGGCCACCCTGTCTCCTTGTGTACTAAAGGCATAGTACTGTACAGTATACAGTATCTATACTGTCCCAAAAGGGCTGTCAAACCTATGAGACTTAACTTTCACTCTGATGATGTAGTGTCTTAACAAACACCCACAGGAGTGACCCATTACTTGTGACAGGATTTGTATTTACACATCATAATTTTCATGTACTGTATTTGTTTACTCATGCAGACCTGGATTCACTTCCATGCATAACATAATTATTTCAATTCAGTTTGGTGTAATTCACAGTATACTCTGTTCAACATCATCCTTAAGCCTACTTTAAAAAAATGTGAATAAGGAAGGTAGAAAAAGGAATAGCTGACGTGTTGACAATTATGACAGCAATATATTTATAAAAATATCACATGAATTTCATTTGGAAACATAAACCTTTGTCAATTTGGCCCTACTAATTTTTGAGAGAGAAAACCTACACAATACTTTTAAGAATACTATTCATTAAATATGAAAACTGATATACGTATAGTACTGTATAAGTACTTGCAAGCATATACTTTACATGATACATAAAATATGCCAAAAAATAAACTCTAGATAGTAATTAAATTCAATTACAGAGTACTGTACTGCATATGACATGAGAGAACAAGTATAAAATTACCTCTTTCTTTGTTTAACCTGACTCACTTGTCTGCATCATCTCGTCATTTCTGTCGTGATCCTAAAAATAACATGTACAGTTATGGTCAAGAGCGTGTGTGAAGCAGCACTGACCTTGATCGAGACAAAACAACACACCCGCACCAGTTGACAGTCACTTTAAGAATGTTCCAAGACTCATTCCCATAACTTGGCTGCACTGCTTCACACTAACTTTTTACCCTGACTGTACAACACTTCTGTAGAATAATGTTAAAAACTTTCAATCATATCCAACTCTTGTCTAGATAAATATAATAGTGATACAGATCCCACAATGGAGACCTCTGGTATTAATTTACATCACATTAATGCTTTATGATAACTAGTAATGGGTAAAACTATTATAATGGATGTGACATTTTAAAAAGAATATGACACATTCCTGTTGAAATAAATAAATTTAAGCATCATATTACTGCAATATGCAATCATAATGAGTGGTCATTTATATTAAATACTCTATTGGTAAAAGTAGTTAAATACTAAAGCGTATATTTCTTAAGCCGTATTGTAGTTAACTCAATCCCATTCTCAAGTAGTAATTTTTACCTTACAATAAGAATTACTAACAATGCGGAGTTCCGTAACAGGTTTATTATACACTTATCATGGCATGGTTGATTATCTTATGGGTTCCCGAACATTGATTTAGGCTGCAATAATGTATGAATAATTTAAAACTTCATTTATCCTTAATATTATTACCGGCACATTACTTTCATTCAGTTCTAAAACTGTGTACAGTATCAGATAAATTTATTTTACTGATTTCCATTTAAAGACTAGAGATTTCTGGCAACAGTACACTATACCAAAACAATCCATACTTATACTAAACATCACATACGTCTTTGCCAGGTAATACTGTAGTTGTATTAATCAGATAATGATACTGAAACTCCTAACCATAATCATATAGCAGATGCAAAATTAACTTACTTTTTGAGTGTAAATTTGACTCATGGGCTCATGTGTGGTGACGTCCAGTTTACAGGTAATTCTTTATAGAGCAACACATCCCTCCAGGACTGAACAGTACAGTACCTGTCTTATCTAGAAGGAATTTTGAAAGTCAAGTGAAAAATGGTGACTTCAGCATTAATTGTTCAAAGGTGAATAACTCTTATGTGACCATGGCTGAGACATTTGGAGATTATCTCACTTGTGATGCCATATTTGACTGAACCAGAAATGGGTCATCCCGCAAACTGAAAATAGCTAATGATACAAAATTTACTTGAGTTACCAACGTGCCCAACAAACATAAGAACCTGTTAAAATAAATTTTTACAAGGAAGAATATGAATATATCACTGTTCACTCACACATACATCGTACTGTTGAGTAAGTCCACTCATGCTAACATGCAGACTAATATACTGTATTAGCAAAAAACTCCTCAATGCACTATATACCTGTACTTAGAATTCCTCTGGTGCTGTACTGTACTCCTAACCTGGATATTTATGCAAGAATATAAAAACATTAACCTTACAATAAAATGACATTTCTGCACTTTTCTGTAGCAACATAAAGGTCTTGTAATTCCAATACAAGATCTAACTTTTGTATTATCACTTTAGATCAAGACATGAGAGACTAGATACTACAACCACGTCTTGACTTTAGGGTAAAATATCTCTCAAAAAATTCGTTTGGATCTTGATTATAAACTATAGTACTTAAAAGTATTTCTGGGTGATTATAATATATATTCTGTAACAGAAGCCCATAAAACAATAAAGTATTATCACTGTTTTACTATTCCAGTATAAATGTCTCTTAATAATGACTACAATACAATTCCAAGAGGCGGGGTTTCGTATTTTCTTCTTCAATAACTACACTACATCCAAAGTGGCATACACAAACTGAAAAAATATATTCCAATATCTGTTGTTTCACACGAAAGTACAGTATTTAAACTAATTCCGACATTGTATTTCTCTGATCTAGCACATTTTACCAGTATAATTATCCTATATTTTTTTTACAGGAAATAGCCCACCCGGGCACAGGTCATCGACCCACAATGGGGCCTGGGGGCGAAAAAATAAAAATAAATTAAAATAGAAAAGAAAAAGACCAAATTAATCTACACTACCAAGATGCCGGAAACCCAGCTTTCTGAAGTGAGACAGGCCAAAAAAAAAAAAAAAAAAATCAGGCAAAATTCTGTTAAGCAGCAGCAAATTTGCTTTACCTCTGGAGAATTACCAGTCATGTCTCAGATATGTATTTTAAAACCAGTGTAATGTAAAATTGAATCTCTTATAATAGCTCCCTTTTACATGGTAGGCTAGCAGCCTCTCAGTCTTGTGTAGGGTTACAGGGGTCACATATTATCTAGTCCAGAGCCATCATGGGAACACATTGTGGCATGGAACTGAACTACGTACCGGTAAACCTACAGCGTAGTACAGTGATGTTCTAACCGCTCTATTTTCTCAATATAAATTGCCCTAAACATCACTCAACTACATGTTGTCTTTTTGCATGTTCAGGTGATTTTAATGTTGGCACCACTCAGAAGCACCTCAAATGAAATGAAGGTTAAAATTCCATTTTTACAGTGGCACCAGTGAATGACCTAATCCACATACTGTAGTCTAGTAGAAAAAAGGAAGCAGCAGCAATAATTTAATACAATACATAACACAACCAAAAACTCATACAGAACTGACAGTGGAAATAACAATTACCCTGTGGTACCGTACCTTTAATACAACTTCTCAGTAATTAATATTTTGCCATCAATTACACTTCAGAACCATAAAAGATATGTGATCAATAGAGTGAGTGATCACTCCTACGCCTCATATAACCATAAAGATTTCGACGGTTTCAAACCATACAATTCTTGGGCAACATAAATTAGCAGCAGCAGGCACATGTACAGTACAGTACCAACCACATCATTTAAATTGCCTAGATACACAGCCCTGGACAGATGTATGCACCGTGTAGTTCATATTACTTATATAATATTCTATTTGTAGTAATTTTAAATATGGCAAGTACAGTACAGTCTAATCCAAACACTTAAGAAGTACAAACACAAGTCTCTTACAAGTTTTTACTGTACTGTGCTTGTAAACGAGTCAGGGATGCTAATATTCCTAATCTGTATAGTCCCCCATAATGTAACAGACTTTACACTAGTCAGGGTTCTGTTTTAGGTGTACAGTACAAGGGAAACTTGAGGGATCATGAAGTTATATGCCTGCATCCCTTACCGTAGAACTGATGGCAACAGAGACTGTCATCAATTAAATGGGATTTTTTTTTTCAACAGTACAGTAGCTTATTTCTCTATCATTTTGAATTATTACTCTTTTCTTTAAACTTATCTGTGGCTTAAGATGTACTATTGTACCATAATCAAACTAAAGTCTGTTTACTTACTATTTATAACACAAGAAATTATCAAAATGCCAAACAATATAGACTTCATTAATGAGGACTCAATTACTAAACCCAGTTGAGGCAGTGTGTGAACACATAAGTCTACATCATTCTGGCAAAGTGATTTGTTGTTTCTCCATAATAGCAAATATTGTGTGATTCCTTCAACTAACATTGTATCACGAAGAAGTGTAGGCCTATCTATCATATTCAAATTTCCCTCTGAAGAATGTGTGTGAATGTGGTGTTGAGGCAGTGATGTCGAGTTCCTCTGAAAATGCTCTCAGATGGCAAGTTATCTAAATTGTGCCTTGATTATGGTATGTAAGATCACATAAAAAAAGGTTTTCTTAGTTACAATAACTTCATCTGTCAGTACACTTGCCATAAACCCACCATCCACCACAACTTAACTTACATACAGTAGATTAAGCTAAAGGAATCACTAATATCAGTTTTCATATCTGCTGAAACTGTTGTGTAAGCTCCCATAATTTGCATAATGTTCACCTTCTTTAAGCTTCAACACAATTTCATGAAAGTGGAAGTATTTTAGAATCTGAAACATATCATTACCACAAAGCAACCTTACAGCAAGCATATATTTCCAAATGATAAATAAACAGGTCGTATTAAAATTATAAAATTATCACATATACTTATAATAAATATGTAGTAATCAACTGTAAAGAGGAAAATAACCATTTAAAATAACAATAAAAATGATGTTTCTCTCCTAACTTGTCCTACTCACAGTGATGCTACTTGGTTGAGTTTAAGCATGGAACAATTAGCAGACAACATGAAGCTAATTGGCGCTCTTACTCTCACTTGGCCTCAACTGTCGCTTGTGATGCATCCGGCTATGTTGTGATATATAGAGTAAATGTCCTCAGTGATGTTGCAGTGATACATTACAACACATACTGTAATGCAAAAACTCGTGAACCATTAGGTTTCTACATCTTGTTTAAGAAGAGCATAATGTGAATATCATGAGAATCTATTTTAGTTCCAGTAAAACTGTAAACATGATGCAGTTCTCAAGTGGAGCCTGGAGAAGTGGGTGACAAACACACCTCTTAAAATGTACTTTTAAATTCTATACGAGTTGTTCTGTGAGATGTCTTATGGCAATTCTATAAAAAAAAAAAAAACTTATCAATAGCATATATACTGTACTTTGAACTTCTCCTTTAAGTACGAGGAGCATTGATAGAACAATTGAGGCTTTGCCCAAAGCAGGGGCATAAGTGCCAATCTGACATTTTGAGATATAGATAATCAAAGATTATGCATATGTGACCTCGGGCATAGAAGGGCCTTGTGAAGATAGGCATTCTTCAGATTGTAGTTGCATGGTTCCCATAAATCATCGAACAACAATATATCTGCTTTTCCAATCGTCTCAAAACATTGCCACTTGCAGGGGGTCCCACATGCTATAGTGTAAGCTGTGGATGTATGTATGTATACCAATTGATGGAGAATAGAAAATAGAAAATGGAAAAATACTCATCTTCAATTTGCACATCTGGCACTAGCATCCCCTGCTTTAGTCAATGCCTCAATTATTCACCGAGTGTACCAATCAACAGAGCAAACTTCAGGACCAGTAGAGACAGACACCCTATATGTGTTGAAAGACTCGGGGATGATGAGGAGATACCCTGACTGAATTTTCCACTCCCATAAACACAGCTGTATAATTAGGTTGGTGACAATGTAAAAATTAATAAAAGAAAAGTTAAAGTTTACAATAATTAAATATATTGTAATACAGAGAGAGAGAGAGAGAGAACGAAACTCTACTGCCTTGGTTACCACTCCAAGATGAAAACACAACACTGGTAATGCCCATCTTCACAAATACAATAATAAGAGTACATAAGAGTCTACTGAGTTTATTAAATATTACCAGTGGAGAGAAAATAAGCATTACTATGAGGGGCAAACTTTTACGCTTGAACTGCTCTATCGTTTTATCCTGGGTGATTACTGTACTGTACTCTGTAAAATGATAACTAATTTCTTTATAATCTATCCGGAGTGTTTCCTCAAGATTGATGGGGTGAAATGTGTCGCTTCCTTCTGCAAATAAAAGAAAGAACATCAGAATCTACAGTATAATATTATAACGAAAAGTCCTTCTAAAAGACAATGAATCAGACTTGTTAGTTCATGTTCACTGCAGGAGTAATAGTATTTCCACGGTAACCTGGCCCGTACACCACGCCCCTCTTCTGTGTTAATAGCTGATTGGTTAATAGAATATTCAAACTAAATGTGTTGACAACTGGTAAGCAGACCTGTTATTATCTAAAATAATGCTTAATATCTGAACTATTAAAATGCAAATGACTTCAAGGCATTAGCACTTCTGAGAGAATGTTAGAAGTTTTTAAATATTTATCATAAATTGTACATATAAACACGCACAGTCCAGGGGGAGGTAAAATGCTCAGGGGAACCAATCAGCTATTTGTAGCTATAGACGAGGAGCGTGGCTTACGGGCCAGGTTAGAGCGGAAGAGGAATAGTTTGTCTTTGTATGCTCCCTATTCATTAAAATGACTTTGACGTATCTCATAAGAGTACTGTAATGTACTATGTTCTCTATTGGTGCTTCATAACAGTCTTAAGTGTATAACCTGACCAAACCACAGGGAAATGGCACCATTTTTTTTTCTCTTACCAAGGTCATGCACATCCCTAACCCCAACAACAGAAATAGAGACACCATTATGAGGAGATTTTCTTTGTCACCAAGGATGAGAAGCAATGAATTATTCAACACCCATCTCATCATCAATGTTCTACAGCCAATTTCCACACTTGCACGGGTTAGCCTTAATAGTTGTGGTTGCCTGATGGTAGCTCTTTATGCTACATGGTCTCTTGTAGTCCCTCTTGTCAGGTTTTTAACTCCAATTTTGTTTCTGAACTCGCCCCATGTCATTCTTGGCTCCCCTCCCCTCCACATTTATTTACTCATGCACCTCTTAACTCGGTTGGCCTTATCTATTCTCTTCACAAGCCCAAATCATCTCAGCCTACCTCTACTCTAACTCTGTCAATACTCTCAATACCCAGCCACCATCTTGGCTCTGAACAGGGTTTCTTATTTTTAGTGTCACATTGCTCATCCACTTCACTATTCTCATTTCAGTTTGCGCAAGCCTGCGTATGTCCTCTTTAATAACCTGTGTTTCACTGCCATACAATACCACACTTAAAAGTCAGCAACATCCTGCAGTCTGCCATCCACTCCACTACACCTCTTGTACAACCACCTTCCATGCTCACTGCACAATAGTGAGTTGTTGCCAACACCTTTCTTACTGGCAGCACAGGGCTACTTTCCACCACACGTACCTCACCAATGTTACTCATCAATGCTTTTGTTTTTGGTGCATTTACTCTCAAAACACTTTCACTCTATTCTTTCCTTCCATTTCGGAAATTTCTCTGCTGCCTCTCCAGTACTATTTGCTATTGGTATGAGGTCATCAGCACATAACAACTCCTAGGGCAAATCAGTTCTGAAGTCCTATGACAAACAGATGGTGTTTTAAGACAGGCCCTTGATGAACTCCTCCACTCCTATCTTTTTCATTGCCCATTTTACTACTTCATGTGGCACCCTGTCAAATGTTTTCTCTAAGCCTACAAATATGAAATAGAGCTTTTTCTCCTTCCCTAGATGTTCTCCTGTAGTTGCCTGGCCACAAATATTGCCTCTTGTTATCTTCTTACCTGTCGTCAACACTTGTCATCAACCCAAACTGTATTTTGCTTATATCCACTCTTCTTAATCACTCTGTCTACAGCTTTCTTAACCTGAGCTGACACCTTCAGACCCCTGTAGTCCCTGCTTTCAAGTGCCTCACCTTTACCCTTGTAAATATTCACACTCTTCTGCCAATCGTCTGGTACAGTACATTTCATCATGATTGCATTGGACAATTTGGACAACATAGACACACCTACAGTATGATGTCTAATGCTTTCAGTATTTCTGTAACTATTCCAGAGCTTCCAGCCATCTTTCCATTCTTCATTTGTCAATAGCTTTCTTCACCCAATCTATTTCAAGCTATGTCTATTCCCGAAATTTTTTTGTGAGCTAAGAACCAGTACTCAAGTGTTTTTTTATAACCCTGAGGAGTGTCTAAACAAATTTGAAGTGTCTGCATCATGTACAGTCCCCGACAAAATACTCTGAACCTGTCTGGTATCACTACTGTGCTCAAACAGACATTCAGAATGTGTCACAATGTTTCAGTCTCTTACCCCATATTCTATAAAGCAAATCACACCAAAGTGTTACATATATACAGTACATGATTTTTGACCTTTACGTATGTTTACTCAAAAGTTTGTGTTTTCTCAGATGCTTCCAAAAGTCTCCAGAGTATTTTTTCAGTGACTGTACATATTAATGTGGCACACTATGGATATTCAAGTTTATGTGTGGTAAGGGCATTCATTGTGAATATCTATAGAAAAAGTTTCATTTAGTAATATTTTCTCCATTGATACATACCTCTTCTTTTTGTGCTCAGGTAAACTTTCCTGACCACTATCTGACACACTTTCAGAAGATGATGAGTCATCAGATGATGAGGAAGAGGAAGAGGAGTCAGATGATGAATCTGATGCCATACCAGAACTTTTGCTCGTGTCAATGCTATCTGCTAATGCTGCAAGTTCAGGTTTCTTTTCCTGAAAAAGTAAAATGAAAGAATCAAATGTTAAACCTAATTTTATGATGAAACCCAGACCATTATATCAATGTCTGGCTTTTGTCAGAAGGCTTGATGGCCATTTTAGTGAGAGGGATGGAGATTGAACACTGCACATCACCCTGACTAGTAGTAGCCCCAGCCTTCAACTCACCTACAACTTTTACTCTCTCTTCAATAATGTAAGCATTTTGATACATTTTACACACACACACACACACAGACACACACACACAGACAGTATAAATTAATCCCTCACCATCCTGAAGTTTACCAACCATAGTTTTCAGCCTCCATGTTTTATATTTTTATCAACCACTACTGTACTGTATATATGTTATACACTGTTGACTGGGAAGGGTGTGAAAATTCAGGGACCAGAAATCATTCCACTTTTCCCACACATTATTAAATTCCATTTCTGCAGGTTCAGTATTCATAGCATTCTTCTAGACTGTAACCCCCCTAATAAATTCTCAAATATAGGTATATAAATGCACATCAAATTTCAACGAAGAGAAATATATCGCATTTTCTTACCCTTAACACTCGAAGCCACTTCTTGGAAAGCTTTGGGCGGCCCCGCACGGTCTTGTGCCACACAACTGGGAAATTGGTGCAGGAGCTGAAGTTTTGTGTGATTGCAATGGTATTATCCATATTGATAACAACGTGCCACCACCCTCCAGGCACAAACACTGTCTCCCCGGGTCCCTGTACTAACTCTAGCTGTAGAAAAGGAAAAAAAAAAAAAAACTTTACATTAATTCACTTCTAACATACAGTAGTAACATCACCATCATCAGCACTGTTTTATGACCAGGAGCTGAAATTCATATGGGTGTGAAGGTTCTGTATAAAGTGATAGAAGACTAGACATATAAGCTTTGAGCTGTACACCATACTACTAATACTGCACAGACTTACATATAATAAACTGCACTAATATTATTTTTTTTTCTCATCAATATGATTTCCAAATAGATCAATAACATATTAACAGTTTTTTTTACCAAGGATCATATCTAAAAAACAAAAACATCTACGTGTATAAATATAACTTGTTTAGCTTTGTAGCCATCAGCAGGACTAGCAGAGAAAATATTGAAGGTAAGTCCCAGATGTATGGGGTGAGAAGGCCATTAGAATGTGACTGCAGTGCTACAACCTAGAAAAATAACCAATGAGTCTGATTCAAGATATAAATGGCAATAAATACTGAACAACATAGGTAATCTGACTGTGGAAAGCCTCTATTGCTGGCATGACCTGATCTGTGACAGGTAACTCCTCAGTATACATCATCTTACCCGAACCTCTGTGAGCGTTATCTGGCATCTTTATTTCACAGTTAATTTAGGACCTTTTACAAACAAACTTGATGATCATATGAGACCAAACATGTTCCATATGACTCAACACAAACTACCACTAACATGAGCATCACTACAATAATTAATGATTTTTGTCGTCTCACCGGTCGGTACTTCTCCGGCCAGGTGGGAAGCTGTGTACGTGGATAGATGATGGAGAACCACGTTATTGCTTCATCTACTTGCTTCCCACCTTCTGCAGAAGTAACCTTTATCATTTCCTTTGGTGTATCGGTTGGGAACAAGCACCATCTGGAAAAACAGTTCACTTCATACTATAATGATCATCATGTTAAGTTTATCATAGTTTAACACAAAAAATAAAATAACATGAAAGGTCTAAAAGGAAGAGACCAGCACCAGGCATCTCTCTGGCATCACAATGCTTAGTTACAGGGGATATTACCTTGAAGGAAATATTGCATAGTTAGAGAGGCAGAGAATGTTAAAGTCAATATTTACTCTTATGTTTTCTCTACAGTACTATAGTGCTTTGACGGTGGATCAAACAAAACATTACCAACACCTAAAGCACTAAGGAATACACAAGCAAAATTACCATTATATGTTTACTTTACAATAGTTGAACTTAATGAATGGAAATAAGTCTTGTTACAGTTTCAAGGGAAGTTTCAAAATTCTAATGGTAAAATGTAGACATATTTCAAGCCACTTCATCACTTGTTCTCATATACATAAAGTATAAACATATAAATAATAACAAGCAGCAGATGTATCTTAATTAAGTGAATAAATAAAAGTACAAGGTGTATAAAAAATATCATGGGGCAGAAAACTGTTGCTTCTGTACATGTATTTTATTTTTACCTTGTTAATCACTATCAATACACATATATACTCTTACATATTGTATCTTTACACATGCACACAAATTTTTAACCACAAACAGAGGCACAGTGTTGAAGCAATCCAGTTACAGCCTTACCTACAGTAAATCATATGTGCTACAATATAATAACACTGTATATAGGTAACATACATACATATGAAGACACACATGCAATAGGTCAAGAAATTCTGGAGTGAGATTCGGTTTTTCTCTGGAAGGTGAAAACTATCGTGTTTGTGGTAAATTTAGTCTTTAATATTGTATTGATAAAACGATTATAAGGGGATTTAAAATGTATGAGCGTGGGGTAATTGACGTTTTAAATATTTTAAGTGTATTTAATTCTTTCGGAGCTCATTAATTTACACTAACTACTCAAATTTTAAAATCCTGAACCCATACCATTAATCAACATGTAAATTGAGTACCTTTGTATGAAATTTGAACAAAATCTAAGTACTGTACAGTAATAACCCCTTGAGCCAAAAAGCAAGGTAATGACACACATACAGTAAGTCCTCGTATAATGTCGGCCCGCTTAACGTTGTTTTGGTACTACGTCACCAATCTTTAGATACCAATAATTCGTTTAACTTCCCGACGACTCAATTTAACATCGTTTTTGAGTCGTCCCGGACTACTTTTTACGGCGCATCGCCCTCTCTCATCTGGCCGCACTACGCTCTCAGCTTGGCGCGTTCCCTCTCACTAGTGGAATGTCACAGTGTCCCCAAGCGACACCAAGCCAGTCCCTGTGTGTGCTGAAGTGTTTTTGCTCTTAACTGTACTCTTAACCATTCAAAATGGCTTCCAAGCACCCATCAAGTGCTACTGACGTTAGTGTTGTGAAGAAGCAAGATAAGACCATTAGCCTTGCTAGGAAAATGGAGGTTTTGAACCGGGAGGAGCCAGCCACCGGGTCTCAGTGACTCATCACCCTCCCCCTCCTCTGCTCCACTACCCACCACACACTCGCTCCACCACATCCGTCCATCAGTGAGTACAATACAAAATTATTTAGGGCATACAGGGTACAGTATACTATTTTCTATAAAAATGCCATCGAATTTCTGTATATGTAATTTATTTCATGGGGCAAAGGGGGGCTCAGGAACGTAACTCCCATATTTTATCTATTTCTTATGGGGAAAATTGATCCACTTGACGTTGTTTCGTATAACGTCGTGTTTTCAGGAACGTAACCTCGACGTTAAGTGAGGACTTACTGTCTATCCCTATAATCTTTTGCATAAATACACATAAAAACCCTCTTACATATAGTATACATACATAATATAACCTTGGAAATCCAGCACAACTAGGAAGTTTACGGAGTTGCTGCCATTACTGATGGTGAGAGGACGTTCCCCCCACATGAAAGACAAGATGTATGCAAAGTGGTGTGAGAAATGTGATGTTGTATGCCAGTGAAAGAGAGTATGATATATGCAGGCTTGAGTGAGCTGAAATGAGAATGGCAAGGTACATGTGCAATATGACTCTGGATGACAGGAGGCCTAGTTCAGAGCTTAAGAAGGTGGCTGGGTATTGAGAGTATGGGAATGGAAAATTTCTGCTCAAGAGGCACGTGGAGAGAATGGATGAGACCAAATGGGTCAAGTGATGCGTGAGCCTAAATGTGGAGGTGAGAAGAGCCAGGAGACAGGCCAAGAACGACATGTAAGAAGATGTAATAATAGTATCAGAGTTAAGAACCTGATGAGAGGCTGTAGGAGACTGCAGCCTTCAGATAATTGAGGCAAACTTATGCAAGTGTGGAAAATGGTTGTAAAAAGTTAAATATGATGGTTTTCTGAACAGGGTCACTTATTCTATATCCTCCCCCTTGAAACCAAGACGATCTCTTTACAGAAGTAACAAATTAGTCATTAGTAACCAAAAAATCCCCCGCAACTGTCACCACAGTGAAGAAAGAGCTGAAACACATGCTTAGTTCATTTTAACTTTGTGAAAGGCGATGTGTGGAGACTATTCACAGCAGCAAGGTGTCCCACACAAACGTGAACTGGTATGGTTCATACCCAGTGTACTTGTTGATCATAATACGCTAAACAGTTAGCTTTTAAGCAGCAGCTGGAGGAGATCCAAAAGAAAGAGCAGCCTGTTGTTAGAACATAATTACTCAAGGCAAGGCAGGCTCTGTGAGGGGGTGTTCTATTGTGAGAATCTCATGTATCACTCACTGAAAGACCCAGTCAATAAAGAAGACATTAAGGAACTCTGAGATATGAAGATAATGGTTATATGATTAACAAAAAAAATGCTTTTACTGAACTTTGGGCCAATAAGACTCCGGAGAAAGTTGCTGCAAATATGCATGGACTAAAAAATTTACATGTCCTGGTACCTGAATAAGGCTAGAGGTATGATTAAATGAACTGAAATATGCACTGTCATACTGGTTATGTTGGACACAAGGATATGAAAATTTGGCTAAACAAATGAAGGCCATACCAACAAATTAAAAAAAGTCATTACATTCCAAACTAATCTACATACTGTATTGTATTATATACATAATAAATTCAATCTACATTACAAAAATTATTCTTTCAAAAATCACCGACTAACCGTTTGTGACCACGTAACAGTGAATTCCAAGCACTAGTTCCAAGTGGGTCTATATGAATACCAGTGCCAGAACGACTAGGTCCCATAACAAACCATCTGTATGGAGGGCGTCGGTCTTCACCAGTATATTTAAATAAATCATCTCGAAAATATGTGGGTACTTCATAGTCCTCAAGAAGTTTTTTACGACGCACATGCTGAAAAGAAGAACAAGTAAGTTTACTGAATGAAAATGAAACACGAATATCTTTTATTGGGGGGAAACCAAACCAAACCCAGACCACTCAGACTGTCATCCAGGAAATTAATTCTAAGTAATAGACTGACTTCACACCAAAATCATGAACAGTATGTCTTGGTGTGGCTGGTGCTGAGTGGGCAGACTATAAGATATAAGATATCCTAACCTCAAGAAGGCAGCTGTTGCAACTTGTCAACCTCTTTGTGGATGAAGGGATGAATTACCGACATACGGAAAGTTTTAATAAATCAACGTTGGCTGACACTAAGGGGAGAGTCTCAGATACCAGAGCTGCCAATAACTCACCTTATTGAAAGAGATGTCTGGCTTCAAGGCAATGACCACAAATATGAATAATGTTAGTTTTTTAGCCAATATTTAGCACTTCAGTTACCTACAGTACAGGTATACTGTACCAACGATTTTTCGGCACCCATGGTTCCGGATTATCTGTTTGCCGGACCAACCGAAGTCAGGTAATAATAATTCAACAATACACCTCGGACCCACTAATTATACACCTGCCTGTCTCTAAAGCACCATGGACTGCTAGAAACTTAAATTGAACAAATGTTAAATGAAAATTAAATGTGAAAAAGCCCTAATTTTGAGCAACATATTACTGTACACACTTTGTACTCAAATGTACTAGACTAAAGGACTAACATTTTTATCTCTTGTGCACTATCACCATCTTACAAGGATTCCAGCAATGAAGTTATATTTTGCTAAGCCTAGTCAGTCACATTTTATAAGATAAAAACTGCCTTCACCCTGGCTGGGAGGATGGGGAGGGGGAGGTGAGGTGCTGATAGCTGGGCGGTGAAGGTTACCAAGTGCGTAATAATCAGTCATATAGAGGGAGTTCAAGTTTTTCGCTTATAAAATTTCACTGAATTGACTTAGCAGAATATAACTTTCATTGCTGTAATTCTTGTAAGACACTGATTAATTTGAAACAAAAATTTTAGTAATTAATTTACAGTAGTACATTTGAGTACAGTACAGGTTTGCATGTAAATGAGTAAAAATAAATTAAGAAAAATACGTCTATCAACCAGAAAATATGAGCTGAAAAACTTGTACATAAATGTACTACACTAAAGGGCTAAAGCTTTTATCTCTTGTGAGAACTATGTGATGTTTGAACTCAAATTATTCAGTCTTGCAAGGATTCCAGCAATGCAAGATATATTCTGCAAAGTTTAATCTGTGACATTTTATAAGATAAAATCTTTAAGCCTAAAACTACCGTCACCCTGGCTGGGAGGGAGGGAGGGAAGTTAAGTGCCCTCTCGTAATTTTGTCCAGACTAAAGGAGGTGCCGGACCATCAGTTCCCGGAAAATCGGTGGTCTGCCTGTAATAAAAAATCTAATCTTCCTATTTCTTTACTGTCTCAACTGTGTGACTGGTTAACTCAGGGGTATCTTGTGACTGGCTAACTGGTAAACCTTCTGATTGGTTAACAGGTAAACCTTCTGACTAACTAGCTAGGGTACAATGAAAGACAAAAGTCGTGTCATGAAATTTGGTCAAAACATATGCTGAAGGGGTAAACCTTTGGTGCGCTCTGCCTTGTGGTAGGGGGCTCTCGTAATGTTTCACAAGTTATATTTAATCTTCGGACAAAACCGCGACACGACTTTTGTCTTTCATTGTACATTATGAGTGACTCTCTCCGGGTAAATGTAAGTGAAAACAGTAACTCTTAAAACTTTCAGTAATGTTCACACGTCTACTGAATATTAAACTAAGTATCTTAAGAGAGCTCCTCAGATATAATAAAAGAGTGAAGAACATAATAAAAGTAAGTTACTTACTTCACCAAAGCTACTGTCAAATATGTATAACGGACTATCATCCTCTGTCGTCTTCATATACTCTATATAATACTTCATCTTCATCTTTACACTGTAACCTTCATTGTCTTCTCCACACTTGAACTTTTGATTCCTATATTTTTTGGCAAGTCTCTGTAAAAGAAAATGAATTACTGTATATCACTAAGTACAGTAAGACATGAGTACAAAAAACAAGTACTGTACTGTATTGTGAGGCAAAGTTACATTATATGGCCAAGAGGTACTTAACCTTCCTTTGTAATCTCCATGTTCTTGTTATTATATTCAGAGGCCCTTCTTCTTTTCTTAACTAAACCCCTGGACATTGATACAGTTCACACCAAGATAACCAGCAGGAAAAACAATTTAATATAGTATAACTTAACTGCATTAAGCCAATGAATAAGATTCTTAAGACCCAAGGATAAATTGGTTGATTATTCTTAGTCATCATTGTTCATCAGGGATGTGTTCCTGAGGACCACAACAATAAACAGAATGACAAACAACGGGTTCAATTATCCTACTGTCTTGCCGGTACATGACACTTACCAGTGATGGTCTGTAAGCTGACACATGAGATGTTGCCACCACCTGATTTTCATTTTTTTGCACCGGTGCCACGTTGTTTTTCTCATCCACTTTGCTTCACAGTGTAGCACTATCACTCACTGAACACTTTGATGCCATATTAAAATGAAGAGCACTCTCATGCAAATAAAAATGCTCATCAACCAACAAGGCTGGCAGAAAGTGCGGCACACTTTGTTTAAAACAAAATGTTTTCTTTTTTTTCGATTCTGCTCATTTGTTTGAATAATTTTTTCAATGCTTTATAATGATACTGTTCTTTTTAAACCTTTTGATGCAAATTCCAGACAGAGAGCTGTACCCCCGGTATCAAGGAAAAAATACCACAATTTGTGTAAACACAGATACTATACACGTGCACGCACACACATACATACAGTATATGCCTTTATCTACTGTATACAGTACATATACCATACACACATACAACCACAATCACTCCTCAATTTCCTGTTCACTTAGACTGCAGCGAAGATGCTTAGCACACGTCTTCTATTGGTCATAAGTGAGAAGACACTGGCAGACCTATTTGTGGGTCGTGGCCACTCCCTGCATGCTAGCTGATCAAAAGGGGTGAGTCTGTCTGGCAATATGGGAGGGAAGATGTTTACTGGCAATAACACTCGCATTGTTTATAAAGTGCAGGAATCACACTGAAAGGGTTAAGTAAAGATAATTTTAAGTATTTCATATATAATTCTGATACAAAATACAGTACATGCTGTAATAAAATTTTGTTTAATTTTATTGAAAAGACGTTACTGTATTAACAATAAAGATGAGGAACAATGAGGACTGACTACACTGTATGGTACTTGTTACTTATGAAGGGAAAGGGTTAAGGTAAATAGATGGTACTACCACAGTAAGATACCGTACATGTACTCTACTAAGTCCGCTCGTCAAAAACTCCTCGAACGCTATAAGCACTATGCAATCTGAACAATGAACGAAGAATCTGAAACCATTCCCAGATGACAAGCCCATTCCCACTTCCATCAAGCCCAGGTGTTGGAGAAGTTTTTGTTGAGTGTACATAACTATTCTATAAAATAAACAAAAACAGTAAAATAGTTATCAACTGCTGAAGAGAACTCTTATATACAGTAGAGTAATATATTTCATTATACCACTGTATTAAGGTTTACAATTATCAAATAAACAGTCATTGAAATTCATGAAGGAACTGAAATATCTCACCTCTAAAGTCCACTTGTAGTGAGCTTTCCAGTTTTCCGTGATTCCTTTTACCACTACAGGCTTATAAGGTTTCTCATAACGTGTAATGAAGTCTTCTACTGAAACTTCATCAACGTGGATCCTCTCAGCTGTGTCTTTTACCTTTTCAATCGAGCAATCAAACTTGTTTTTATAGTCAAGTTTTGTCCATACACCCTTTTCCACACATAGTTCTGAGGGAAGAAAATATACTTTATATACTTTCCAATACTGTACCAAAACACACAAAATGCAAATTGTTGCAACTAAAGGCTTCAAAGCTTCATTCAATACTGAATATCTTTCATTGTAGTAAGTGATATTTTGATAAACCTGTATGTACTAGAAGACAATAATCCTGTAGCTGAAGACCTCACACCCTCCTTAAGATATTTACAGCATATATTGCCTGTAGAGTACAGCACTAAGTCCACAGGGTTACAGCACATGTCAAATCTTACACAATAATGGCTGGGACTACTTCACTAATTAGTCATACTTTTCCATCTCAACCAATTGTATAAAAGAAGTTTATAAGTGAGTCACCATTTAAGGCAGATTAACTGATTGTATATAAATTAAACCAACCTAATCATTCCTACAAAACCTAACCTAAAGTACTGTACTGTAATAATGGTAATAGTGGAGAAGATGGTTAACAGTAGAAATTACATATGGAATTTTTTTTTATTTTCCACAGGTGTTGTTTGGATGAGAATAACTAATAAAAGATGATACGACAACTTTTTCCTTCAATTTTATTTATTTTTCCATTTTTTCCTGTCTTCAATCTTAAATTACCTGTAGTGGGCAAGGCACGAAAGAAGAGAGAAATTATAGGGGGAAAACACATTGAAAAACTGATTATATGGCAGTAATTTCATCTCTTCCTGTATTGTACACGAGGAAATAAATTTTTTACCATAAATATTTATCCCGTGGCATCGCTTGTTCACGTCCCCTCTTAAACTATAAACTTGTGATTATGGTCTTTATACTGTAAATATACTGCAACTAACGACAGAGCCTCACATCGGGGGTTTTATTACCACAAATATTGGCTTGGTTGTCTTTTGGTTTCAATTTCATAGGCTTCAGTTTCTGGGTTTTCTTGTTTATCGCCTGCACAAATACCTTTTTTCTAGCCACACATGGTTTTTGAACCTATTCTCTGTATAAAGGATGAGATTCATATACTGTACTGTAGTTGGATTCAGATCCCATATTAGGGTTTGGATTCATTTTCTAATTTCAATGGAGTATCATTGGATTCTAAGTGAACTTAATGTTTGTATACTTAATTGCTTATTGTTCTTCCACAAGGGGGGGGGGGAGAAGCTAGCCATCTGTAGTTAGCAGGACATGCAAGTGTTCAAAATGCGGCAGAGAGCTGACAGTGAACAAAAAAATATTTGTTTCAGTGTAACAACTGATAGTACTCTTATGACCACAAAAAATTTAAAATTACAACAATGCCACTTCAAGAAAGGTGCTTTCACTGGTGCCAGATATCAAAGCAAGTTCTCATTGCTTAATATGCCGGGGATCCAGGGGGTGTTGGTAAGGTTAGGTAGGCTTGGTTGGGTTACGTCAGGTTCTGTGTATTGTCGTTTCCATTTTCTTGTTTGGTATCATACAAATAACATCTCCAGAAATTTTGATGTAAATCCATAAGAAATTTCTACTGCTAACAGTCTCCTCCACCATTACCATAATAATTATCATCCATTATCATCTTACAAAAAAGAAATCTATGAATAGAACCATTCAGCCTTCATTACAGCCACATCAGAGGTCATGGTGAGGATCTGTTGAATTGAGTTAGCATGCAAAAAAATAAACATATATTTTAAGCAAAGAAACTACTTATGCACTTTTTGTAAATTTCATGAGGAAATGTCACAGTAGATAGTGAAGGTGCACAACAGGTCTGGACTATAACCAAAGAAGCAAACCACTAAACAATAGTATCAGCAGTCAGTGGTTGGTCCTACTAAAATTAGATACAGTATATGGTATTACAGTAATTTAGGTTTGGTCATCCAGGGAATCTTAGGAATTTAACTATTGGAATCAGTAGCCGAGACAATTCTAAGACACTTTTCTTTCATGGCGTTTCCCTCACAAACAACTTACATATGTTAGGTTAAGAGGTGAGGTTAGGTCAGGTCATTTGCGAGGGAAACATCACAAATGAAAAGTGTCGGTTAATATTGACGACTGACCCGGGCATAGTTATTTGTTTTACTGTTATTTTCTTACTTTATTTCCATCAGTGAGTTCTGATATGAAAAGCATTTCTTGTGCAAATACTTCATTTGGTACATAATTAGGCACCTAAGAGCGCTCTACAGTAGACCCTTCCCATTCGTGGGTTTGCAATTCGTGACTTTGATGATTCGCGGTAAGCAGATGGTGGCTAGCTTGCAAACTTTTTCCCACAGCACAACGAGTCACCCCACACAGTATCTCGTGTTGTACTCTCAAAACTTTAGTGTTTCTGTGTGAAATGGCCTCTAAAAGACTGCCTAGTGTCAGTGCTAGTGATGCTAGTGGAGTGAAATGTAAAAGGCAGGAGTCAGTGATGACCCTGACAAAGAAAGTTAAATTATTATACAAGTTAAAGAAGGGGATGAGTGGTGCCGTGGCTGGTCAGTTGTTTAGTACAGGTATACAGGAGTACACTAAGGTAGTATAAGTGGCTATTCGCGGTTTTGCCAATTTGCGCCATTCCTTGGAACCTATCCCTCGCAAATAACAAGGGTTTATGTACTTTGTTTTCTCGGTGGTAATGCAGTGGTGAAGTCTCATCCCAGGATGTAAACAGCCATCATATTGAAGTACAAGTATTTCAAAACACTCCGCTGTCCGGCCTGGATTGACACCAATGCTCAGTGTAGGCTTATGAGCCATTTGGTATGGGTGGCCACTCTCACGTCCACAAAAAAGGTAAAGTTAAACCACATCATGCTAAGTTCTTTCTGTTTAATATACCGGGGAAGTTAGGTAAGATTAGGCAGGTTTGTTTGGTTTTGTTGGTGGTTGTTTTTCTTATCAACTAAGGTTAGGTTAGGTTTAATTTAAAAATTCCACTTATTAACAAACTTGCACAAATGACGACAGTGTCCTCTATAGCAGACAGTGAAATTGCAGCGTTTTTATAATGTAGTGGATATTTTACTGTGACCAGCCGTAGGTCAGTTGTCAATAATTACCCAACTTTACCATATTTAGTTTAGTGACTACCCTCGGTGTGGAATAATCATCTCAAAATAATAATGCAGATATCTTAAAGTGAAACAGAAAAAGTTCAAAATGATTAGTAATGCTCAATTACACCACCACCCCAGACTCAAGCTTCCTCTCATTTAGCTCAATTACAAGTTTGGAATAAGGAGAGTATAATCATTCCTTCCTAATGATAGAATAATTTAAATCACCTCTTTAACAACAGTAACACATGGATCATACAGACTTATTGCATTGGTATTCATCATAAAGACTTAATCAACTACCATACTTGAAGCTTAATACCTCCCCTATCCATCATAGTAATTGTAATTGAGATATAATTATATTTTCTATCTCTGTTAAGACATTATTAGGAGTATATTAAGCTAGGTGGTAGTAGTGGGAGATGCCTACGTGACCAAGGTCTCGTGTTAGCTGCTGCCATCATCACCACACTACACTAACTCTACAATATATAAACCTTAATGGGGAAGTTATTCACCTGGCCGAGCTTTCTTTTTGGCTTCTCTCACTCGTTTTCTGCACCTGTGATCCATACTGTTGTTCCGGGATGAGGGACAAGAATAATTTAGTCTATTTTACTGGTGTATTTCATAGTTCATGTGTACACACTGTATTACCTTCACCACTGACTCACCCTCCTCACCCTCACCAGGATCCTCACTCCTCTATTTTATCCTCTTATTACATACGATACTAAAGGTATTATTAAATATATTTATACATAATAATTAGTTAAATAGAAAAATTCAGTTAATCTTACACCTTATTTTGATTTTCTCATTTAAATTAAATAAATTAAACATCAACCATGTCCAAACTGATCCACATGATGTAAGACTTATACAGTGGATTATTAAGTGAATATTGTTTGGAGTATAATTAATTCGTTATTAAATAATTATTTGGATTATCATAGTTCCTTGGATTATTTTATTCTTGCTCGGGTTAAAAGCCAAGGTAAGTTACGATGGTATTTTCATTGGTATTTTTTTGACTGGTTGTAGTTGTTACCTTCAGTCCATGCTCACAGTTACACCACAACACTGTCTTTATTTCTTCTTATTTCAGTGTGCTTATTTATTTAATTTCTGATTATTTCTTTTTCTTAATTTAATAACCTGCGTTAGTTATATTCTGTATCATGGATTAGTCTGGGAAAACTTTGTCATTCTTCCACAATACTTATTATATTTACAACAGTAGCCTGCCACCACCCAGACTTTTATTAGAATATAACATATCTCATTGGACTGTTAGGTAGCGTAATTGCGAGCTTATAAGCACGTGAGTTACAGTAGTTACAGCCGTTTTTGGTCTGTCTTTCACTTCACGTCTTTTCCAAGTGTTCAGCCTTCTTGCAAATTCTGCTTGTACCTCCTCTATACTTCCATCAATGAACTTACTGTAAATCACAACTGCCTCACTTACTTCTGAGAACACAAAGAGAAGGTACCAGGTAGCAGAGCTTCTGCCATGAACTGCGCTTGGAACATAAGAACATAAGAATAGAGGAAACTGCAGCGGGCTTATTGGACCATACTGGGCAGTCCCATTTACACCCAACCCCTATCGCTCATATATCCATCCAACCTTTGTTTGAAGCTATCCAGCGTGTTAGAGTTAATGATGATGTTTGGTAACTTGTTCCACTCATCCACTACTCTATTGCCAAACCAGTGTTTACCTATTTCACGCCTAAATCTAAATTCGTCTAATTTAAAACCATTGTTACGAGTTCGCTCCTGGTTGGATAGTTTGAGTACCTTTATAATGTCCCCTTTGTTTAGCCCTGTCTTCCACTTATACCACTATGAGGTCGCCCCTCGCTCTACGTCTCTCGAGGGAGTGCAAATTAAGATGCTATAACCTGTCTCTGTACTCAAGGTTCCTAATGCCCGGGATTAGTATTGTCATTATCCTCTGAATTCTTTCCAAGGATTCTATATCCATTCTGTAATACGGTGACCAGAACTGAACTGCGTAATCCAGGTGTGGTCTCACAAGAGCAAGATATAGTTTTAGGATGACCTCGCTAGTCTTGTAACTAACACTCCTTTGTATGAACCCAAGTACTTTATTAGCCTTGTACCGTGCAGACATATTTTATTGCTCTGTACCCTGGATTTTTATTACATCTTTTCTTCAGTATTAACATTTGATTTTGCCTTTAACTATGGCCCCTAAGTGTGCATTGAGTGAGTGATAAAGATGAGAAGAAAGAGAAGAGGGTGAGGAACATAATGTCTTTAGAAATGAATGTTGAGGTGCTTGATAGACTTGAGCATGGCGAGAGCAAGATGCACCATGGGGGTTAAACGAATCCTCGGTTTATACAATTAAGAAAAGTGAAGCTATGATAAGGGCTCGTGCAGTCCCCCCAGACACTCACTGCCAGGCGTATGATTCCTTTAGAGAGACAGCTCAATAATACACTACCAACAAATATATCATTTTATGTTATTTAATTATTTTCAATACGTTGCTAAGTGAATTTTCATTAAAATCAGACCAAAATTAAGTTACTTTCATAGTTGGTGTCAATGCTGTACGATTGATGTCTGTTATTAATTGGCGCCACACTGAGCTGCACTCAGTGTGGTACAACGTGTGGACGGTGTGGTTAAATCGTGCTTTCTTTAATTACCCTTTGACCATGGAAAATAGAGTGAAGTATTTGCAAAACATCAACTTTTCCCAGTGATATCCATTGAAAATAAAATGATAACAGAAATAAAGGATTTTAATGAAATAGTAATAAACAATTTTGCTACATCAAGGAGCAGACACCCCGACTTTATTTTCAATTAATACTGGTCCATCACCACCAACACTACTACCATGCCCTGGGAATTAGTGGACATCAACTACAAGGTAGGTAAAATTTGTGTATTGTATCCTACTGTTGTGTGAGGGTTGCAGTCCATCCATTTTATTTTTCACGAGCCGCCACTGGAAGCTATAATAAGGGCTCGTGTTGCTGGAGGCACATGGAAAAGTGCAAGAGAGTGGGCCTGTGTCCCCTCCTATAACAACCACCTCTCCCTCCACATTATCCTCATCCTCAATGAAGATAAATACCCTTTATGGTACTGTTAAATTAATATTACTATTTAATTTATATTATGCTTTTTTATATGTATTTGACTCAAATTAAATGACATGTATAATGCAGGTATTGTTTTGCAAAGGAACAAGCAACTTAGGCTTTGACAAGTGTTATGGGCGGCCGTGCAACTTAACCCCTTATTTTCCATAAGCCTCTAGTTTTACCAACAGGATTTTCCAGGAACCTAACCTAACCTAACCTCCATGGTTAGCGAGGGACTACTGTACTATTTATGTTTGCATAATTCAAGTGTGAAGGAAAAGTTATGCAGCCATTCTTTGGATGTGTGTGAATGGGACATTTTAGAGGACTTAAATTTTTTTAGTCTATTATTTTATGAAAGAAAAACATGTAAATAAAAATTTCATATTTTTTACCCACTTTAAATCCACAGAATATGATTAATTATCACTTTGTGCTTCCAAAGGCTTACTGCTGATCTATTTAACAACAATAAGAGACCAGTCATGTGTAAATATTGCTAGTGATCTTCTAACCTTTCAGTATTAGGGACTCATACATGTGAAGCTTTAACCCTTGACTGGTGGCTAAAGATTCCTTACCTCCCTATACACAAAAATGAAACAGGGAGCATGAAACTAGGAAAATGATACATACTGTAATATGAGAAAGTATGTAGATTGTTTCTAGGGCCTCAGTTTATCATTAGTTTCACTTATTTTGTAATTGACATCATTTACAGTACCCAACATTAAAACAGATGACTATCTGTGCTAAACTCCACATGTCAGAATTTTGACCTGTAAGACATTGGAAAAAAGATAAACTTAACTGAGTGTTGCTTATTGTATCTTATGAATCGTTCATCTGGCTCCAACTCACTCACTTTCTTGCATTATTTTACCATTTTTTCTCCAAAGCATCATACTCATGCCTGGAGACTATGTAATCCCAAAATGTGGTCCTGAATGTTTTGACAATAGATGAATTCTACTGACATATTTGACTGGGCTTTTCTGCAGTTGCAAGAACAGTGTAGAGCTGGTAAAGAATCTGTGAATCTCAGAAAAACAACCTTAATATAAGAAAAGGTTACCCCCTCCCCCTTCAAATTCTCCTCATAATGTTTCCAAGTTATTGTCTGGAATGATATTAATTTTGCCAAACACAGGTAAAGCCTTTGTATAATAACATATCTGGAGTAAAAAATACTTTTTGTAACAAATTCTTTATTTCATCTATGGACAGTAACTTGATAAAATAAAATACACTGGATAACAATATTGTATCATCTTCCTGTACAGACAATCAGCTGCTATCATTCATTTCCAAGTCCCTTTGATTAATCAAGCTGCAACCAACTGGAATCTAAATGTTTTTGATCTGTTGAAACATATAGGGTCTATATTATAATTACCATGAACATAGGAAACACAAGGTTACTTGTAAGACACTAGGGTGTTACTCTAAGTCTAAGGCCATTGTTATACTTTATTTACCAGACAAATTACTGCATTATTATTTATGCCTTTCAGTGGTTGTATACAAATTAATTGTTATCTAAGTATTTAGTATTGGTAACTCAATTCAAGAAGTGCACTTGAGCAATCTCTATTGGTGGTCTATAGATGCAAGCATAAATAGCATTTAAATAGGCTTCATTATATGAAATTATAATGTCCTAGGTGGTCCTCTGAAAGTAATATATTTCCACCTGTGCTACCAATCTTCCCAGATAAATAATGGGAAATCTGCCTTATTCCTCTTATGGAAAATTAACATTACTAATTTCATGAACTAGTGATTTGTCCTTGTGTCTACAGGTGAGAATGTTTTGTTATATGGGAAATACATTAACACAGTAAACTAGAATACTGTGAAGAAACAGAGTACAGAAGAGTACTGATCTAAAATGTAAAACTAATAGTAGTACAGGTGAGGAGATACAACCTTTATCTAAATATTTCAAATAATGTACCACAGCACATATTACTTTAATTGGTCAAAATCCATCTTTTTGGATTTTCAAAAATAAATAGTATATTATTAATAAGAAAATTACCAAAATTGGCTATTGCTTTCAAAATATCAAAAGTTTTAATATTTCCAGTACATAAAACTTAGTGGATAAATGGCTTTGGGATTAAAGTATACATAAAGGAAGCATTAAAGTATATATTAACCTTTATCTAAAAATATGCAACTTGCATTACAGCTTCCCTGCCCTAAGAACAAATGATATACAAATAATTTGGTATGGTGACAGCTAAAGTGCACCCCCTGCATTTTTTGCACAACTGAGTATCTGTATATGATGTTAAAGCTGCATTTTGTGGACTAGCAAGGCATATCAGAGGTAGTGAGGCTAGAAAAACACCAAAGGCCCCTATCCCTTCAACATGGCTTATGCATTTACTGAATGTTAATACTATTTTGTGGCTCAATCTTCATACTATAAATTAATCTATCTAGTTCGCTACAAACATAGGCTCTACTAATGCAAATTATGCAGGGGTGCTTACTGGGACTTTGACTATTGGGTAAAACACTGTTCACAACAAGGTAATGTTTATGGACACAGTATACAGAACAATCTCTTGATACATGGGTGATAACTGCTATTCCTCTAGGATTAATATGGAAGCCATTAAAAATCTATGACCAGGGTAAAAGGCAAGATAATATTTTAAGCTTACAGACTTGTTTTACAGTAAATGACAAGCAGATAAACACTGGATATGCTACAGGAAACGAACAATATTCCTCAGTGGAACAACTTTCCTAAATAAATGACCTTTGTGACTTACTGAGCACAAGTTGCCAAAGGAGGAGACCTAAAAATGAACCAGAGTTACAATATACCATCATAGGAACCTTAACAAGCTGAGTGTTTTGCCCATACACATCAACTGCAGTAACCAACAGTTGGAAATATTGATATGCAGTTCCTGTGAGTCTGACACAAGTGGACCAAAGAATGCAAGTCATCTTGAGCACTGTTACTGATAAAATTGTTCTGAACATGAAGGAAAACAGCCTCAAAAACTTATCCCTTGTACATCCTAGAGAAAAAAGCAAACTATTTCCAAGCACTCATTAGTAAGCACAGTGCCTGGATCTAAAAAGAAAAATATATTATCATGGAATAAGATTTCCTTGACAATGCAGAGTAACTCTTTTATAAAAAATAACCTTCACACCCAGAACAACTTGCGAGGTATATTGCAGCAGCAGTGTTCACAGCGACTGATATTCATTGTGAATCTGACCTTAATCTTATTTATTATTTTTTTAAATAATCAATACTATATCAGGAATAATAAAAAAAAATTACAAATAGAGAAATCTTACACAAAAAGCTAATCAGCAATAAGCTAATAATTTGGTAGTTTTATATACAAATGTTACAAGCTAAGCTCCTCCAGGAGAGGGTACCAGAGGCCTCTAAAATGAAGAAGGCGAGTTGGGACAGTAAGGTAAACACCCCAGCCAAAATTAAACATAACAGGAGCCTACTTGTTGGCCTACATCAATAACACTCTGGTAACCTCATCTGTCAGTTTTATTTTGCTTCTTTACAATATGTACAGAACAATTTTCTATCCTGAAACTGGATATTCTTAGTGCGAAGCAATGATGTAACATGCTTGCAGGCTGGCAGTGCTAAACATATATTAATAATATTGATAAGAACACATTTGCCAATGCCATGTGTTAAAGGGATTTTAATAATGTTCTGGGCCCAAGATGTGCTGGCAGTATGTGTAACTATGAGAGGAAAGTAAAATATTTAAAAAATTTGAGAAGATGGGAAATGCAGCTCACTCTTGAAAGTATCCTGAAATCAATCAGCCCACAGAAGATACAGATAAGCCAATACTTGGGACCGTAAGTGGCAGTGGTGCCGTCAACTTGCATTATAATGGTCGCTGGCCAATTAACATTTTTGAACCAAAGTATACATGATATTTATTAGAAGAAGAGATTGCACAACTTTAACTCATTAAAATAATGACCACTAAATAAAGAGTCAACAGCACTGGAACGGACCTAATGGAATTGTCTGGAATAGGTGGCTAGTAGCCTGCCAGACCCTTACACAAGGGGAACTGTTTAGCTGGGAATGTACAGTAATGCAATATCCAAGCACAGCATGAAAATAAATGGGAATACATCTATGAAAAATAAACTGTGCAACTTTACTATGAAGATACAAGCATGAAAAAGCTACATAAATTATGATGTTATTCTTTGGATTCCACATACAAACTGGATTACATAAGTACAACATGGACGGCTGTGACACATTAGCAAGTACACTCACGGGTAAGTCTAAAGTGTTGAAAGTCATTTCCTAGGATGAATCCCGGGCCAAACTGAGTAAATATAGACACCCTGGACATTTGTGATAGCTAAATGTGGCCCTTTTAAGCCTATAATATGGAGGGCATGTGTGCAAACAGGCACCTTTCAAGACAAACTGTTATTTATATGTACACAAGGCAGACCACATATATGGTACACACTAAAATATTATATATTACTCTGTGACTCTAAAAGACAGCATAACAGGCATCTTGAGATAATTGAGTATATGTCACATTCAGCATCAACAGCCATACAGGTTTTAAAGACTGTGCCACTTGTAGATCCTTTAAACACAAGAAGATACACAATATTTCTTTCATGTCTACAATTACAGTGGCCAGAGTTGCCATTTGCATGCAGTTACAATCACTCATCCCTCCTAGGCTTACAAAGTTAGACATCCATGTTGGCTGAGTACTTAGTGAGCACCAAGAGAAGTAAGGATGCCAATGTGCAACAGAAAAGGCTTGAAATAATGTTCCTTGTAACACTATAACAGCGTGCACAGTAATGGTCGTACAGCATCCGTTAATGTGTGTTTAGAGGTCGGAAATTCGGTGTCACTACGAAGGATCCTGAGCACTATGGACATTGGTGTCGGTGGAGTTGGTGTCGGTGGTGTTGGTGATGTTGATGTTGGTGGTGCTGGTGGTGCTGGCACGTACGTTACTGCTAGTGTTCGTATCCTTGCTGCTCTCTGGACTGGGAACAGTTTTGGTTGGTTGCACTTCAACATGGCTCAGCTCCTGAAAAATAAAATTGATTTTAGTCTTGTCATTTAATGTGGAACAGTACAGTATAGATTTGTAACATCAATAGCAGCATTAGTAGTAAAAAGAGATAATTTAGAGCATCTCAACAGCATGAACTGTATAAAAATGTACCTCAATAGTGCGAGCATAGGGATTGCTTATGGTTCGGATTATCTCTGGCCGTGGGTTTTGGTAACCTGAAAATGGCTGTCGGTCGTTGTTTCGTCCATCATCAAGATCCCTGAAAGGAGAAGAAAAAAGTTAGTGTTTTAAACAAAAATCAGCATTTCATTATTAATATCACTAAACGTAAAAACAGAGGTTGGAGTTTTGATGTATACAGTATATTATAATTCTAGATTCCTGGTAGTGTATTATTAAAGGTTTATACTAGAACTACAGTATTTTTGTTGTGTGATTAATAGTGTCAATAATCTATATCTGTAAGAGTCTATGTTATGTCACCTGCTCGGCACACAGTATCTGTATTAATGTTAAGACAAATATGGGTCTAGTGTGTTAACATTATCAAAAGGTGGATGATGGGTTCACTTAAAAATTACCAGTTGCCATTTTAAGTTGCAGTGATATTTAATTCCACTGTTTAAGTGTTTTGAGAAGTAGCAAACCTAAATAATACACTTCATGTACCAAACCTGACACAGGAACACTCAAATCTCCAGGAAAAGAAGTACTACTGTGAGTAAAGTAATAGATTATTGTAAATTAAAATAAATTAATGACATATATCATTAACTTATCTTCTGCTATAATAGTCAGATCTCTCTCTCTCTCTCCTTCCTTTACAAGATTATCACAACCAACAGAGGACCTCAAATGTTGGTGCCTCACAAAATGAACTAACTTTAGCCCCCTTTCTGCCTCCTTAAATGTGACAAAACTATTTGTTCCCTCGCGTGGGTCAAAATCTATCTATAGTGTTACATGTACACTCGCTCCAAAAATTATCTTCACTGAGGGGTCCAGCATGTCAAAATGAACATTGCAACTCTTGTTGTTTTAGTAAGGTTGTCAAAGTCCCTCATCCATTGTGTCACATTGTCTCAACACAAAACCGTAAAGATACTTTTTGGAGCGACTGTACAGCAAGGTACACAGGACTGTGTATATGTGCTAGGACAGTATGGATTTCTTGTCCTAGGCCTGGGTGTTGGTCACAAAGCAGAATAAGGAGAAGTGTTCTATACTGCTAGACATCTGGTCTCCTGTAACTTCTACTAACCTCTTGGCCTCCCTGTAGTTTGTGATCTAAGGGTGACACTAAGTTGTGTCAAACAAGAGCTATGCAGTGTAACACCATACATTCTGATTCACATTGAACCAGAAAAAAGTAAGCAAAGTACAATAGTCAATGTTAGGACAAAAACTTATTGCTAGTCTGTATTTGCCGACTAGACACAATACAGTACTGACAGCTCTGTCCTCTTGTTCCACCTTAATACACCCCATGTTGTACTGCTTCCCTCCCTATCACATTAATGTATATCAACTCTACTGTAAAATATGTACTGTATATACTTATAATATAAATGTAAAAAATAATAATATAATAAATAAATAAAGTGATAACCGTGGTAACATTCTGATATGTTCTTACTACCACCATACTATGTGTACTATTCCAGATGATACTAAATGTTACATAATACTTCCTCGAGATAAATGTACAGTATATATCAGGTGCAGCTCTGGTTCTCTACTGGCTCAGCCATGTTAATATTGTTATTATTATCCACTCTCTATCTGTGTTCTGGCTAAATAAACTGTTTCAATATCAATATCTCTCCACTACTGTATCTTATTCCTTGTCGTTATCAGTTGATGTATAGTTAATAATTTATAGGTCAATAAAGTATGAACCTTGAGTGGATATTTTCTCCAACCATCCATCTTTTTATCAATTTCACTTATTTTTTAACATGTGTTGTAATAAAGTTACAATCACAATTCAAAGACTCTTCAGCTCCTCTTGTGAGGGACGTAATGCAATAGTCAAGAGTTCTTGTGCAACTGCCCACAAAATAAATTAAACAAGGAAAGGTGCCATATAGTTATTTTGTTAAGCTAGGCAACAATGAAAATTTAAAACTAGACCAATTAGTCTTCTAGCAATTAATTATACATATACAGTACTGTATACATAACAAAAACTGTCCACATCCTCACCTGCACCGCTTGTCCTTGTCTTTCTGCATGAACACATAGACGGCAAAGAGCACCACAAACACCAGCACACAAGCAACCGTCGCACCACCAGCAATAGATGCAGTCTCCAGCAACACCTTCTCCCGCGTTGGTAAGTATGACCCATCTAGGTCCTTGAACTCACACCGTTGACCCATGTATCCATCTGCGCACCTGGAAGAAAATGAAGACGTTAATAATAACACCCACAAACTTATCACACCAATAATATTTAGTACAGTACTACTCACACGGTCATACAAGAACACACATTATTTTACTCGGTGCATATTATTTACATTAAAGCAACATTCATCAGTAAATTGTAATTGACTGCACTCGGTTCATCTCCTCCCACCACACCACAGAAGGCCTACTAATTTTCGTCAATATGATTTCCAACAATGCGTATTCTTGGCAAAATTTCGTGTCAATGGATCTATGGTAAAGTCAACACTACCAGAAATATTAAAAAATTCCTTGCAGAAAAATATAAATTTCATTACAGTATTACCTCACGTATTACAATCCCAATACTGTGACGTCCAAAACAATTTATCCAACTATACACAATAATAGTAATTCATAATTAGTTCAAAGTATAAATAATAATATTTTAATTTCTGGGAGCTACCACGAGTAGCGGACACGGCAGCATGGGGGGGAGGGAGGGAGGGGGTGCGAGGCTGAGAGGCAACGCTTGAGCGGCGACGACGGTGTAGGTCCTGTTAGATGCGTTCCGGATACTTGCCTCGCCGCCTACCTCCCTCGCTCGCTCGCTCGCTCCTGCCTGCCTCTCCTGCTCCAATCTCTAACCATCGCCTTATTTGTGTCTAGCGTTACACAAAATACAGTCATACACCTGAATAAACTACATTTAGAAACTGAGAACACACTTCAACAAGGAAGTGTCTAGCGTTCTCGTATCAGAGCAGCCAGTCACTCAGCTTCCGCCCATCTTTATGAGCTTTATGGTCCAGGGAGTTGTTTTTTTTCTATCACTGAAAAGTATACTGTAGTGTTAATTGTCACCTAGTACAAGAACGACAATTTCCCGTTCTTGCGAAACTTTAAAATTATTGGGCGTGTCCCCTGCAGGCTGACGACCTCGCCCCAACACACTCCAATCTACTGCTGTGGTGAAACGGAGGCGAATCATTTGTCCTAACTGATGATACTGTACAACCTCACCAACACCACCAATACCGTCGCCAACACCACCAGTACCCTCACCAACACCACCAGTACCGTCGCCAACACCACCAGTACCGTCGCCAACACCACCAGTACCCTCACCAACACCACCAATACCGTCGCCAACACCACCAGTACCCTCACCAATACCGTCGCCAACACCACCAATACCGTCGCCAACACCACCAGTACCCTCACCAACACCACCAGTACTGATCCAAAACATGGGGAGGGGAGAGTGATGAAGCGACTATATGGGGCTCCCCTACCACCACACTGTGATCTGGTATCACGAACTTTTGCCCTCTAAACACTTGGTGTGTGTTACTGAACACCTCTGGTATAATTAGAAAGTATATTTTAATAAATTTAAGGCAAATATGTGACGTGAGCTAGTCTGGTGTGGGCCAGGAGTGACGCTCGGCGCGGCAGCCTCCAGCTCACATGCACCCAGGCAGGCAGCGGGGCGGCAACTCTACACGCCATCCAGAGGAAGGAAATACCTGGTGTGTGTGTGTGTCCATTCACCGCTGGGGCTCCCCCGACTCTCAATGAAACCAGTGTGTGTGTATGTGTGTGTGTGTGTGTGTGTTGCCTGGCCCAGCCACCACCAGCTCAACAACCTCAACTTACGCCCGTCTACTCTCGCCTCTTTAAATTTGTTTAAACCAAAAAAATCTAAATATTTTATATTTTTACCAACAAGAATAAACAAAGGTATACTACATATATACATTATAACTATACTGTATAATACCGCAACGTTTGGCTTACAACAAATCAATGCACACTTAAATTACCGAACCAGTTTACCGTGTCAATGTCTGTCATAGAATAACTAGACGAACACGTGGTACCTGCCAGCCTAGTCGAGCCCCCCGCCACATGTGCACCAACACCGCCATCCTGTATCACCGCCTCCCATCACTCAACTACCTAACCTTAACCATCAATCGTCACTGTCCATCACCGCCATCTGCCGGGCGATCGGGAATCTTTGGTCTATTCTCACTCGCACTATAGACCGTGTCAGTTGTAATGGTGAGCGAGAAATGACTTGTAATTGTACGGGGAGGGGGGGAGGGGGTGTTAGCCACGAGAGACGCTCCTGGTAACACTGGTGGAGGGAGCCGAGTCCTGCGCCACACAACATGACCGGACGCAGCCACCAGTCCATTCATGCGTCTGGAAATTCAGCCAGACTAAAGCGGTGAGCAGACCATTGTGTGGGCAACTCCCCCTCCAACCATACTGCACTAAACTGTAGCCTACACACACACACACTGGCCAACACTCGTCTCGCATAACAAAAATCAGTTAGATAATACAGTAGCCGGCACGAGAAGATGAACAGGTCTCTTGGCTAGACAGGCGTGGGAGCGTATCCTTGGTGGTGTAGTGGAGTTAGCAGCAGCAGCACCACTGTACACCAGCCTCCACTCACTGTATACCAGCAGTTCACCGCCGTCACATCCTAATCTCTTGGTTAGAGCGTCATCTTAGGCCTAAAATAAACGTTTCCGGTAATGGGATGAGAAAAAAGTACGTGGGGAAGGTCGGCTTTTTATTTTTGTTTTTTTGCCAGTATTTACGGTAATCTTCTAGTGTTAATAAATAAAAATCTGAAGACGGACCATTTAAAATCGAAGATCTTTATAGAACGAAAAAACGAATTTCAATTATTATCAGATTCAATTATCGGGGAGAGTCGGATTACGGGAAACAGGATATTTTTTGAGGGGGGGGCTTATGAACCAGCAGGCGGAGAGCTAAGCTACTCTACAATGACTTCCCATAACGCGGTAACATCACCACCACCACACAACTAGGATAAGAAAAATAAGTGTGCTGTGTTACTGTGGTGTTGGTATATTAGAAGAGACACAATAAAACTCATAAGGAACACCATTATCTGTTAAGTCAGTTAGGTAAGTATTGCAGCCAAAAAAAGTTATTATAAAAATGAGTCCACCTCACTCGTTGTTCTGTGGCTCTAACACAGGACACCCATACCACCACGACGGACACCAACCAGACACCGCCATCACTCCAGGATAAACCACACCATGCTCATGAGCTGCACAATCACAGGAAGTTGATGAGTTGACACCCATCACGAGTGTTGAAGAGTGATGGAGGGAGGTGGTGGTGATGGGAGGTGTTGGTGATGGAGGTGTTGGTGATGGGAGGTGTTTGGAGGGTGTTGGTGATGGAAGGTGTTGGTGATGGGGAGTGATGGGAGGTGTTGGTGATGGGAGGTGTTGGTGATGGGAGGTGTTGGGATGGAGGTAAGGTTAGCTATGATTGGTTAGGTTAGGTTAGTCTAAACTTGGTTAGGTTGAGTTAGGTTGGACTAAGTTAGGTGAAGTGAGGTTAGGTTAGGTTAGGTTAGAGTGTATCATTAAGTCACCACCTACCATGGCGCTACACACATCACAACAAAATACACTGATGGAAGCGGCGGGAGGGTCCAGGGATAGAGGAGAGGTAACCGCTCCTCCAGGAAATGGGTTGGGTAGCTATGGGCAAGGCATGGGTTTATATTGACGGTAGTTATGCATGGGCAAGGCATGGGTTTATATTGACGGTAGTTATGAGCAATCAAAAAATCACAGACATCATAATATACTTTCACTGATACGATTCACTCAGACTATAAGACAGATTGGTAGGTGGCCTCGCTGTACCCGTCCTTCGTGATGGATTCCTTCTAATACCTCGTAAATCACTCTACGACGACGCTACAGACACTAACCCTGCCCCGCTGGACCCATCACCCCACCAGCCATGTTTGACGACGGCTGGAGGAGGATAGTACACCTTGTGGTATGCGGACGAACAAACAGAGGCTTAGCGGCCTTACGGTCCATATTACGGATAGGAGGAATACATGGAAGGTAGTGGAGTGGGGGCGTGGAAACATTAGGAACAATCTCGGTCATCAACAAGTGAGGCGAGTCGGGGAGGTGGCCGGCAGTCAGTGAAGCGTTGAGGAGCAGTAGAGTCGGCAGCAATTATGTGTGGTTATGAGCGGTGGGTCGCCTTGGCCTCCACCACACACGGGTCACTGCCAACTACTGCCCCGCGGCAACAACTACATTATCTGCTCTTGCTACATCTTTCATCCTCACGGTGCGCTTTGTCACTTACAAGGTTAACTACTCCCCAGGGGTTTCTTGCGGAGGTAAAAGAAGGTGGTTATCCCGACAGTGACAACAGCCGTAGCAGTAACAGCTTACGGTGGCAGGTACCGGAGCAGCACCAAGGTCACAGCTGCTGCGCTACCACAACACAACCTTAGTATGTGACGTATCTCACCCGCCAACATCAGGTGCTCCCCCTCATGACCACCACACCGTGCTTCACACACCCTCATGACCACCACACCGTGCTTCACACACCCTCATGACCACCACACCGTGCTTCACACCCTTATGACCACACCGTGCTTCACACACCATGACCACCACACCGTGCTTCACACACCTCATGACCACACACCGTGCCCACCCTCATGACCACCACACCGTGCTTCACACCCTCAGACCACCACACCGTGCTTCACACACCTCATGACGACCACCCGTGCTTCACACACCCTCATGACCACCACACCGTGCTTCACACACCCTCATGACCACCACACCGTGCTTCACACACCCTCATGACCACCATACCGTGCTTCACACAACAGGAGAATATTCTCCCTAACAAAACAACCCTGCAGCTTCCTCCACTAGACAGCTGCAGGATCATGAACCAGCCAACAAACTCCACACGAAGCGGCCGCTGAAAAGGCTGGCGGCAGCTTTCCTCGTCACCAATGTAAACACGCGGACACACAAGGTTGAGCCGAGTGGGTGACACACAAAAGTTCTCACCGCGGCCACACCTGTTGGTCTAACACCGTCCCCTACAACATACAGCTGGTACAGTACACCCAGACGAGCGAAGCCCAGAGAGCCTTCTGAATTGATCAC